TTAGGTTTTTTTTTGGTTTTGGGGGTATTTTCGGGTTCAGGGATTTTTTTGGGTTCAGGGTCTTTCGGCTTCAGGGTTTGAGGTATCAGGGTTTCGGGTTTTAAGGTTTAGGGGTTTTTAGGTTCAGGGTTTTGAGGGAAGCTATTCGGGTTCAGGGCTATTCGGGGTTAGGCTTTTTCGGGTTCAAGGGTTTTAGGGCTTTCACGGTTTTGGGTTGTTAGGGGTTGAAAAGCTGTTGGGTTTTTCGTGTTTCGGGTGTTCAGTTTTTTTTTTTTTCAGGTTGTCAGGGCTCTTTACATTCATGTGTTTTTGGCGTTAAGGGGTTTTCGGGTGAAAATGGGTGAAGGGTTTAATTTTTGGGGTTTAGGCTTTAGAGTTTTGCGGCTTAGGGTATAGGGCCGGGGGTGTTTAGGGTTTTTCGGGCTCAAGGTTTTCAGATTTTTCAGGGCTTTGGGTTTCGGGGGTTTTTGAGTTCAGGGGTTCCAGATTTAGGGAAGTTAAGATTTAGGCTTTTTAGGGTTTCGGGTTGTTAGGGTTCAGGATATTTAGGGTTTAGGGCTTTTGGAGTTTTTAGGGTTAAAGGTTTTGGGGTTTTTCGGGTTCAGAGCCTTTTGGGTTGACAGGGTGTTGGGTTTTTCGGGTTTAGAGTTTGTATGGTTCAGGTTTCTAGGGCTTTTGGGTTTTCAGGGTTTAGGGGTAGGGTTTTTCGGGTGTTTTTGGGTTTCAGGTTCAGGTTTTTTCGGTGTGTCATGAGCACAGTGGCATCATGAGCCCACATTGGCGAAGTGGCCCGAATGTCAGAACACCCTTCAGCCAAAGTACCATCCAAAATGGAGGTCTTGGACGTGTCGGGGCGCAGGTGGGCATGGAACCACTTCAAGCAATGGTGGGCCTCTCGTGTGGGGATGCGGTTGTTCCAGGTCGAGTTGTTTGCGCCGCGCAAGAAACTCTGCGAGGTGTCCATCTGCACCAACTTGGTGTGAGAATCAGAGAACAACGGCCATTGAACTAAGTAGAACATCAGTCAAAACTTTTGTCCTTGCTGGAAAAGGCACAACGGCTTGCGTAGCCCATCTTGTAGTTGCGGAAAGCCACATTTTGGTCTTTGCATGTTTCAATGGTGTTCAGAGTCAACAGGTCTCGGGAATGTTTTTCCGCACACCAAGTGCTCCCTGCGCCTGCACAAGCCTGGGCAAACTCCAGAACCTCTTCGTGATGACGCAGACTTGGTCGCAACTCGCCGCGCAGACCTGCCTAACCAGGCTCGTCAAAGTTTCCGAGCCCTTTCTGCCCGCGGAGGAATGCCTGGTAAATGGTCAGGGACGCGGGCATGTTCAACCTGAGCAATGAAGGCAGAAAATTGTTTGTTGTACAGGCTGTGCACGTGAGGACACAGCCGAGGATGCAAGAATTGAGGGCTACTGGAAGTTTCATAAGTTTCTCATTGCCCACGAACCAAAATTGACTAGCTTGCTCAGCGCTTCAGCGAAGCGATCGCGTCCCGCCGGCGGTGCACGCAACCACAGCGCCAACTCCGCACAGTGCGAGGGCAGGAGTGGTTGACGTGTGGACGGAGTTGGTGCGCCGCATGCCAGAGCAACTCCCCTGCACGTGGCGCACCCTCGGTGTCTCCGCTCTGGTGATTGTAGGCTGCCAGAGATATACTCACACAGGAGTCTGCCAACCGCCAGCCTTTTGGCTGAGTTGCAGGTGGCCGCTTGGTAGCCACACCTGCCCAAGCGATACGCCACGCGGCACGCCGCGCGGCACGCCACGCGGCACGCCTCCCAGCCAAGCCCGGGGCGCTTGCGGTCCACCTCAAGCTTCACGCTACGTAGTTTCACGCTCCTTTACGTCGTCTGAATGTAGTTTGACATTTTTGGTTGAAAGCGCGCCACACAAACTGGACATTTCCGCGGCGCGTCGTAACAGGCAGAGCATGCGTGTAGGTCGCCCGGCCGCCAGGATGAAATCTCGCCGCTTCTCGATAATTATTGGCTAGCCACGCCACCAACTGCGCCTTCTTCGCAAAGTTGCAGCCAACCCCGCGAAGGTTTTGGCTGCTCGCTTGGAGGACTGCCAACCTGTCAGGCTGAGCATTCACAGCAGCTGTAACCCGGTTTTTGATGTGGGCCGGTGTCTGTTGGACATCGTCACATGCGCAAAAGACCCGATGTATCTACAGGTACGTGTACGCGGGAAGCTCTTTTTCTCTCTCTTTCTCTCGCTCTCGCTGTGATTTTTTTGGTGTTTTTGCCTCTCTCTCTCTCTCTATATATATCTCTTGTTATTTATTTCTTTCCTTCTCTCTTTCTCTCTCTCTCTCTCTCTCTCGCTTTCCGTCTCTCTGTCTCTCACTCTCCTTCTTTCTCATGCTTTCTTTCTTGCTTTGTTTCTTCCCTTCCCCCCTCCCCCTCCGCATCTTTGTCGTGGCATGAGTATGCGCACGGGGCAGCACACGATTATGCAAAGCCAGGTGCGAGCACAGACTACAGACCTTGTAGTGATTGCTGCTGGTTGTTGGCCCCTTAATTCTACATTCCCAGGCCTTGTCCATCAGGAGTCTTCTCAGGGAAGCTCCATCCTCGTGACCGTCGTCGTTTTCGTGCTTTGGTTACGGAACACCGGGCAGCCTCGTCGGTTGTTCGCATCTCAAAAGTGTAGACAGTCAGGAGGATGAGGCACCTGGGGCGCATCATTCCCGTAGCTGTCCTCTCTTTCAAAGCCTATAGGGTTCGCAGCTGGCGCTGCCGTCAGAAGCAAGAGCGCGTTGTTCCGGGCGTTCTCTTTCACAGGCCTCCCTCAGAAGTAGGTGGGGCGTGCAAACTGAAGTCTGGTTCGTTGTTGGCATCTTGAACGCGCGCACAGTCACGAGAAGGGAACATATGGGTTGTGCCATCCTCGAAGTTGTGCTGAGGCTTCATGTGTGTTCATGCCTCTTTGTTGTCAATACCTCAACATCCTCGTGAACGTCGTCATTTCTTAGAAGTTTTACAGGCGTTCGAAGCTCACCAGTCCCTTTCATCGTCATTGTCGTCAATTGCTGTTCGTGTTTCCATACTGAGGACAATGAGGAGGATGCGGTACGCGTGGCGCCGTCCTCGTAATTGTCGTGGCTGACAAGCGCTGACTGCCACGAAGTGTCTGTCAACATAACCAACGACATGGAGGATGCCCGTTATTTGCACATGGCAATGACGTTGTGGAGTCGTATAGCCGAGTCCGCGCGGACGTCGCTCAGGAGAGGCGCTTCTCCGTAAAGATTGGCCAGGCTGGAAATGGGCGGAGACAGCAGACTGGCAGCGAACGAGCGGGCAGCCGCGACGGACAAGGGCCCAGACCAGCGTCCGACAAAGGAGGCAACAACACATGCAGCACATTGCAACGGGGCCCCGGCCCATGGCAACGTGCACGCACGAGCAACCGGATGACGGTGCATGGCCCGATGGGCAGCAGCGAACTCAAGGTAAGTGCGCTGCTTGGCCCGATGTGCTTCAGCCAGGGCCGCATCTGCTTGCCACGTCGGCGACGGGGCACCCTGGCGGAAGTGCGTGGGCCAATGACAAGCTCTGAGCCACCCCCATTGGCAATATTGGCAATAACTTCAATACGTCGCTCAATGTCGCTCATCATGTCTGCGTGCCGCGAGGTTCAGGTCTCGGACAAGCTTAAGGTTTTTGGTGGCAACCGTTGCGCAGGCTTCACGGCAAACCCGAGCGTCTGTTCGCTCAAGCGCCCCCCCCACGCCCTGAGAACGCCAGACCGAGGGCAGGCAGCAAGTCACCAAGGCATCAGGTGGGCGGCGGGATCTGCAAAGCGACAGAGAAACAAAACCCGGAAAAAACACTGAGTTGAGCGAGAGACGGGTCCCGCGATGAGGTCGGGCGGAACCGTCCTCAGCGCATGGTTAGCACGCGGCGCCGCGCAAAAGTTAAGGGGGAGCCACGCGGGGTAGGTGCGCTTTCTGGCGAGACGCGCAAGTCGGAGCGCCGCGCCCTCCTCACGGCGCTGATGGCGCCGCGGTCGGCCGCTCGAGTCGACGGCAGATACGAGCGCAGTATCGACCGCGAGCTGAGCCCCGTTCCAGAGCGGGACCGTTGGTGACGACCTCGATACGACGCTCATCGGTTGAGGTCCCGGAGCAGCGCGTGGGTGACAATGCAGTCCCCTCCTCGCGGCAGACCCGAGCAGCTGCCCGGCGGCTGCGCAGTAGCCCGGATCGCGGACACGTTGCCGTGTGGTCCCCAACCTGATCCCACCACGTTTGTACAAACGCTGGTTTAACTAGCTCTACCTTTGAGTCGAACCCTGCTGCCCCCATCCCTCTTGCAACGGCCCTTCTCCTCGCGCAGGCCCCAGACGCGTACGTGTCCGCAGCTGCCCAGTCCGCTTTTCTGGAGGCCTATGGCGGCGCGCCCTTGGCTGCGGCCGCTCGGGCTCTGGCCGACGACCTCCGAGCGGCGATGTCCCATCGTCGACGGCACGGACCTCGCACTCGCCGTCGCCGACGCAGAGCAGGGCGTACGTGTGCTGACGACACTGCGGGCCGCGCGAGTGATGGCGAGCAGACCGGCGTCCCAGCATGCCCGAGCCCGCCCGTCGCAAACGCCCGTGCAGGGCATTGCAGGGCGACGCGCGCGAGCAGGAGGAATCCTGTTTAGTTCCTTTTCCTCCGCTTACTTATATGCGTAAATTCGGCCAGAAGCTGAGCACTGCGTCAGTCCGAATAATTCACCGGATCACTCAATCGGCAGGAGCGACGGGCGGTGTGTACAAAGGGCAGGGACGCAATCAGCACGAGCTGATGACTCGCGCTTAGGATCAGTTTCCAGGCACGCTCCGCAGTAGTGCCGGCCGCTGGGTTCGGCGCGTGCAGGCCCCGCAGCGCTTGCACGAACGCGCGTCGCACGCCGGTAGCTAGAAATCACGGGACATCGCGCATCGTAGGGACCCGAGTGGGAAAGACGTCCCGCAACTGCACTGTGCCCAGCCATTCCCAGGACGCTTGGGCAACTCTCGCATGCGCGCCTGGTGTCGAGGCGGTCGTGGCTGCGTGGGGGTTCTCGTGCACAATGGCGGAGTCGCTGGACGTGTCATGCAGCGCCGCAGCCGATGGACCGTGGCGGCTTGGCCGTTGCCTGCTTCGCCGCCGCGCCTTTTGTTGACGCGACCGCACCAGACGGGAGCAGCTGGCCGTGCCGCCTTGCTGGAGCAGATCCGAGCCTTCGAGGCAGGGTGTTGGCACGAATTGCTGGATGCGGCGCCGCCTCCGGATCGACGCCCGCAGCGATCCACAGGCACTGACGTTGGGCGGTTGCGTCAGTGCGCTTGCGCGCAAGTACGCCGCGGTCACTTGTCGCGGGCGCGCCAGACGCTCACCAGCGCTCCCTTGGCACCAGGCAATGCTGCTACGTTACGCAGCCTTTCGGACCCCGACAAGCGACCGCCCCGCCCGCGCCAGCGGATGCCGGACGACATAGCCAGCTTCTTTGCAGCAGACCCTGTCCGCCTCACTGCAGCTGAGTTGGGTGAAGCTTTGCGCACGGCTAAGCGCGGCAGCGCTGCGGGCTTGTGCGGGGCAACGGTGGAACACTATCGCTTGCTGCTGGAGGACGAAGAGGCGCTCGGCTCGGCCTGCTAGCGCACGCGGCCACTCTTTTATCGCGACCGGAGACACGCTGCGCCGAGTGGTTTCGCGAGCGTTGGCACGACGGTATGCGGACACGTTCGACCGCGCCACGAGGCCATTCCAGTTCGCGCTTCAGGCCCGTGCGGGGACGGATTGCTTGGCAGCGATGCTGCGCGTGGCGAGCGAGTTGGACCATCGTGTCGCTCGACGGCGGGAGCGCATATGACACGGTCTCCCGGGCCGCCTTCCGACCGATGCTGGCGCTCTTATTGGCGATTTGCGCAATATGTGGTTTCCCTACCTACTGATCGGTGGGTCAGACGTGCTCCGAACTGGGTTCCGAATTGGTCTCGTCGCAAGGGGCGACCCAGGTACCAGTGGGATTCCATGCTTCAAAACTTCTCTCGATGGAAACGATGTGAGAACTGGCAATTTGAAGCCCAAGACGAGGCGAGATGGTCAACACTGCTTTCGGATTTTCTATCTTTCATGGAGCACGTGTGAGCGCCGCTTTTCTGTATAGTATAGTTAATGCTAGATTTGCCTGAGCCCTAAATGGTCTGCCTAAGGGTTTTCAGGCCTGACTTGACTCTCCCGGGCCGCCTTCCTGACGAAGCTGTGTGAGGTTGCGCCAGCCCTCATCCCGCATGTGCGGGCATGGTACGGCGGCACCTCCATGTATTTGTGGTGGGGCGCCGTTGTTTGCGCCGCCTCGTGCCGTTGCACTTGCGGGCGCCCGTCTGCCCTCAGCGGCGAAACCAGGGTCACATCAGCAGAGTGCCTCGCCGCTCCCAGACGCGCCATATATGACGAGGTCGAGTCGGCGCCGGTCATCTGGGGCTACGCCCCGCGCCGTGGTCCGCGCCAGCCATTGTTGGGGGGACCACCCGCGCTTCCGCGGCGACGGCTTCCCGCGCGACGCGAACCCACAGCGACCGCCACGAAGCCAACTTCCAGGCTTGAAAGCTCAGTGTGCGTAGGCGCCCCGCGGAGCAAGTCGTCCTACTCCGGGCGCGCACTCCACCTTTCGGCGAGCAACCTGTTTTCCGCTGCCGCAGCTGCCCGCAAGCAAGGCGCAGTCGACCCGCCGCCAAGAGCGAGTTCTTGCGCGTATCTACGAGCGGCCTCCGGGCATCTTTGCAACATTACCGAGAGCACTTTCGCCCAAGCCGCCCAGTAGGCCGCGGGGGCTGTCGCTCCGCGCTGGCTACACCGAGTGCCGCGGGGAGGAAGGCGATTTCGCGCGCCGCTACCCTGAACTGGCCGGCCCGGGCCCGCAACGCCTCGTCGTCCTGGTTGCGGAGGTCTGCGGACGATGGGGGCAAGAGGCGCACGACCTCATCCGCAGCCTCGCGCAGCTCCCTGCGCGCGCCGCGGGCACTGCGTGCGGCTGCCCGCGCAGGGTGGGAGCGCCGTTGGTGGGGGCAGCTCGGATGCGCGTTGCAGCGAGCCTTGGCCTCGATGCTGTTGGGCGGTTGCTGGCGAGCGCCGGCGCAGCCTACCGGCGACGAGCACACACCGCTCCGGTGGGTCCTGGAGCTCGCCGAGGCTGAGCAACTCTCCAGGTTGCCCTTGCGTGCGTGATGCGCATGAGCTTGCTGCGATCGGCGGCTGTTGGGGCCCGTTTTGAGACTCCTCCGCCACCAAGCCGCGTTGCGGCAGATGGATGTGCTGGGACAGGGACACCCAGGATAAACAAACCCGAGCCTTGGCTGGACCCCCCGGCGCCATCCCGGCTACCCACTGGCTTTGACCCTAATCGTAGGACCCCACTCTCGGTGCGTAAGCGCTGCTCATATGTGCGACACGCCTCCTGACTACTCACCAGGGGATGCTACACCTTTGGCACCCACTGCAAGCCGACCCCCGATTTCCTCCCCGCATACCGTGTGCTCCTCGCCGGGTGAGGTGGCTCCTACTACCCCGCCGTGGCTGCTGGGCCCCGACACCCCCGTGCCCCCAGCATGCCCTTCTGCCGATGCCTGCCCGGTGTGCATTTGCGATGTCCACGCAAGTGGACAGGGCCCTGAGACGCCCTTTGCCTGGCCCAATTGCCAGCACCGCCTACACCTTGGTTGCCTGGCTCACCTCGCCGCCAATGTGCATCCGTTGCGCTGCCCAGCCTGCCGAGCCGACTGGCCTCCACAAGCAGCAGAGGCGTTCCTGGATGCCTGCCGTGCACATTGGGTGGCACTGCCCAGCCCAGCGCCGGAGCACGACACCACCTCGGCCAGCCACCGCGAAACACTTGCCCCACGCCCACCGCAACATGTATTGCCCTTGTGTTGCCCGCGCATCTACTTGGCGGATCCGGCGCGGGCCGAATCGCCAGAAGCGTGGCGGGAGTTGCCGGACCGCCACATGCATTGGGCACCAGTTCACCGCAGGCAGGAAAACGCGTGGACCCCGGAGTGGACTTGCCTGCGTTGCAACACCTCTGTAGATGGCCCCCGCCCCCTCTTGCAAGACATTCCCGACCAACCAGTGTGCCCTGCCCACGGGCCACGACTCCTCGCACTCGACCTGCGGGAAGGAAGCCGCGGTTGGGTCTGCGCCCGCGGGTCTCCACCACAAATTCTGCCTTGCGCGCCTGCCCGCATTGCTTTGCCTCCGCAGGACGCAGGAGCGGCCGTCACCCGACCCGCCAACCAGCAACCAGACCTGGTACGCGCGTGGCCCACCTCCCGCAAGCCAAGCCGCCGGCCTTACGCACAGCTGGCTGTTTGTTCCGTTGCTGCATGCGGCCGTCGGCCGGCTACACCCGCAAAGTGCACAACAATGGGCGAGCCATGCAACACTTGGCGACATGTGGATGCGCTCCCTTCAGGCTCTCCGCTCGGCCGGTCCGGTGCCGCCTCACTCACTGACCCACGTGATGCACGTGTTGCAACAGGTCGCATCCGGCGAAGGTCGCCCGGTGCCTGTGCAGGAAGCCCAGTTGCTCCTCAGCCTTGCGGCCGCCGCTAATGCGCTGCCTGCATCTACGATGGTGCACCTACCATGGGCATGGGGCCAGGTCGTCCTGCCTGACGGGTACATCCCAGCCACCGCGCAGGAAGCATCACTCCACGCGTACTTGGGGGAACCTGCCGCAGCTCAGCTTGTGCACCAGGTCGCACTTGCACAGGGCCCACCCGAGCCTGGTCCGCAACCGGCGCCCACCCACTCGCACCCGAGCCGGGTCCGCAACCGGCGCCCACCCCCTCGCAGCCTGCTCCGCAAGCACCGCCAACCGACTCGCCTCGCGATTCCAGCTCCGAAACCGGGTCCTCCAGCAGCCCCAGCTCTGTGTCTAGCTCCGGTTGCGCCGCTTCTGCTGTGTCACATGCTGTACCACACCAACCTCGTGGCGATGGCCAACCGCGGGCCGCCCCACAAGCCGTGCCCCCTGACCCGGCTGACTCGTGCCCACGCTTGCTGGATGCGGACTTGCGCGGCCATGCGCGGCCCACGTTTCCGTGACGCACTCATTGCATTGGACCGCTACGATGCGTCCGACGTGTTGAGTCAGCCCTCCGCCCTCTTTCGCGTGCCGCCCACCTTCATCCGGGGGCAGATGCGACAGGCTCTCCAATGCGCGTTGGCCAGCATTGACGCGTGCTCCGACCCCAGTAGCCTCGACGCCGAACGTGCTTGGAAGCTCTGGTTGTTCCTTCCGCGCATGTTGCTCCACCGCCCGGGCGGGGCATCGCGCATACCCAAACCTGCACTCAGGGCCAGGTTCCAGCAGTTCTTTCAGGGGGATTGGCCCGCACTGCTTGATGAAGCGTTAGCCGGAACCGTCCCCCAGCAGCCCACCCGCCAGCCCAATGATGATGCGCGCGCTGACCCTGCTGTTCATCTCGCGCACCTCGGCGAATTGTCAGCTGCCCGCCAGGCATTACTCGCCAAGCCCCTCGCTGCAGGGGAAGGCGCCTGGTTGCCCGAACCTTGGCTCAGCATTTCGCCCATGTTTTTGATTCGGCCACGCGACCCCATCAGTATGCACTGGCTACACGCGCTGGCACGGAGGCCTTCGCGCACAGCCTGCAGTTAGAGTGCGAGCTCGACCCGGAACTGACGGTGCTGTCAGTTGACGGCATCGGGGCCTACGACCTCATCAGTCGGCAGGCCATGCTCCGTGCCTTGCGCAACACACCTGACGCGGCCTGTGTTCTGCCATTCGTGCGGCTGTTCTATGGCCAGCCTTCCACGTTTCTGTGGCGTGACGATGCTGGGGTCGTCCACCGCATCGTGCAAGCCGAGGGCGGTGAGCAAGGCGACCGGCGCTGTTTGCTTTGGGCATCGCCCCCGCGTTGGCGGCCGTTCAGTCTGAGATGCCACCTGGCGACCGTGTGCGAGCCTTCCTTGATGATGTGTACGTGACTTCACCACCACCTCGCGTCTCACATCTTTTCGGTAGGCTGCAGCACCACTTGTTCGACCAAGCGCACATCCGCCTCAACCCGTCCAAAACTCGTGTTTGGAACGCGGCCGGGGCCTTCTAGCGCCCGAAGGTGCGCAGATCTGGGTTGGCGATGCGCGCCTTCCTGCATCGGAACGTGGCCTCCGCGTGCTCGGAACCCCGCTCGGCACGCCCGAGCGCAGCTTGACACCTTGTCCACACAGCACGGCCGCTTGTTTGCGAGGCTCCCTGATGTCCCCGACCTTCAGGTTGCGTGGCTGCTGCTGTTGTATTGTGCCGTGCCTCGAGCGCAATACGTGCTCAGGGTCTTGCCCCCCAGCAGGACACGCGAGTTCGCTTCTGCGCATGACCGGTCTGTCCTCACATGCCTTGCCGCACTCCTTCGTCTTGAGTCCGCCGGGGAGTTCCTGGACAACGAGCTTGTCTGCGGGCGGGCCCACCTCAGCTTTCGGCATGGGGGACTCGGGCTGCGCAGTGCGGCCCGACACGCTCCAGCGGCCTACTTCGCATCCTTGGCTGACTGCATCCCGGCCATTTCCGCTCGTGACCCCCAGCTCGTCACCACAGCCACACGACAGTTGCAGGGGCTTGCTGAGGCGGCGCCGTCACTACACTCACTGATGCAGGCTTCCAGGCCCCGCCGTGGGATGGGCTTGCTCACGCCCCTCCCCCGACAGCTGATCAGCCAGACGACCAGCCTGCTGACTTCACTCGAGGCTGGCAGCGCAGTGCGTCTCACGTCCTTGACACGGCATTCGCGGGCTCCCTGGCACAGAGGCTGGACGTCCCCTCACAAGCGCTGCTTGACTCCCAGTCCGGCCCCTTCGCATCCAGAGTTTTCACGGCCTTGCCCACCTCCCCCGAGGTGCGGCTCGAACCGGCTCTCTTCCGAGTGCTGTTGCTACGCCGCCTGCGCCTGCAACTGGTTGCGTGTGTACTTTTGGTTTTTGATTTACACGCATGTTTTGCACCATCTTCTTGTTGCTAACATGTATGCACGGTACCTTCAGGCTCCAGGACGTGCAGGCAGCAGCTCAGCAATCTTTTTCCGGATACCAGACTATTGCAGATTTTGCCTACAGTGTGCCACAGCAGCACTACCTTGACGCGTGGCTACACGCCCAGCCCCGAGAACTCTGGGAAGAGCTTCAAGTCGAAGACATCGCATACAGCCCAGTCATCGGCCGCCTTCGCCGCTTCCTTGACAGATGCCACACGCACACCTCCGGCACCGCACCGGCCCTAGCACGAGGGGAACCACCCCCTCCAGCCAGCGTCCGCGCTGCGCCTGTTGCAGAGAACGTCTGGGCAGAGCACGCACCGCCCCGCCTCACGCCGGCCGCAGTCCAAAACATGAAAGATACCTTCACGGCAAACTACCCGGGGGAAATCCTCGACGGCAATTCTATGCCTAGCATTCGCCTACTCAGCATTGTGTACCAATGGTTCCGCCCCGGCAACGCACCGCAATGGGTGCCTTGGCAGCTACGCATGTCCGAGCGTCAATATCAGGAACTGCTCGTGGCCCGCACGGGCAAGGTCCTTCGCACAGAGGCACAGCTTATCAGCGCTGCACTTATTGACGACACGCCAGAACTCAACATCGACCCCAACCGACTTACGCATGGCTGGTTGGCAAAAACCCAGCAGGTTTTCCGCAACGCCATCGCGCTCTGTGGCGGGGCACACCTTGCTGCCCTGAAAGAACTAGACGGCGTCCTTGACTATGCAACAAACAGCCCTGCACCTGAACTCGGACTCCGCACCATCAACATGTCAGAACTCTTGGCGGCAGACAGAAAGATATGGTCTGAACTAGCGTCCATGTGCCAGCGCGGCTGGTCATTAGACGACTCCTTGCACGAGCTCACACACATCCGCAGCGATATCCATACCCTGCTTCAGCCCCGCCCGCGCCCACCCAAGCAACCCAAAGGCAAAGGCAAGGACCCCAAGGGCTTAAAGGACTTATTATTTGGCCCTTTTCACCCTCATTCTCCCATCCTGGCTGTTACCTTCACGACTCAACAGATTAACTCCTAGAGACAGAGGTTAGGGTGTCAAGATACTGGCCTGGTGTCCGTACGCATGAAACGCAACCATTAATAATATTATAGCGTGCGTCCCTTACCTATAATATTATAATGGGAGGGGAAAGGTGGCAAAGGCCCCAAAGGGGTGCGCAACGAGGCTCTTAAGCAAGCCCAATCCACCACTGCGCACAGCACCGCAGACCTTGTCACCGTCAAGGGAGACAAGAAAATCTGCATACGCTTCAATAAGGGGACCTGCAACAACCCCAACTGCAAATTCTTGCACATATGCGGAGTAAAGCTCAGCTCCGGCGAAGCATGTGGCAAGAAACACGCCGCATGGCAACACAAAGAGCCACCCCCGCCATCGACCTGACAAAGTCCGGGGGGCAATAGCCGGGGAAACCCGCCGGACATCAGGCAGCCAGCCCCCCCCCCGGCACCAACATGCACCCTAAGCCCCGGGAAAAGCACACCTGCGTCGCCTGCACCAGCACCTAACCCCAACCCAGCCCCAGCCGGGGTTCTCACGCCTCACCCTAATAGCCATAAAGCAGAGCAAGCCGCGCATGCCATGCCATCCTCGCATGCTCGGCAACCAAGCGCAGACAGCACCTACTCCTGCACAAGCAGCTCCAGCTCGAGCGCAGGGCCCGACGAGGGGGCAAGCCCCTCTGTCAAAATGCCTTCGCAGGGCACTGCTAGCCCCCCCCGACTGCTTCTCGACCTTTTCTCCGGTAGCACCGCACCGCTCAGCGCAGCAGCTCGAGCTCTGGGCCTCGACTGCGTCGAGCCGATCGACGCCCGAATCAACGCAAAGCACAACATCTTGCAAGATGACTTCTTTCGCGTAATGCAACGCCTCTGCTGGTCGGGTTTAATAGGGTTTATATGGTCAGCACCGCCCTGCGCAGAATTCTCACGCCTCAAACTACTGCCAGGAGGGCCCAAGCCACTCCGAACACCTGAGCACATGGACGGTGTCCCGAACCTCACCTCAGCAGAACAGCGACGCGTCAACGACAGCACGGAGATCCACCAGCGCAGCAGGACCCTCCTGCGCGCCAGCTTCGCCAAAGGCTCCGCAGGAGGTTTCGAACAACCCCCGAACGCCATGTCCTGGCTGCAACCAGACAACGTGCACCTCCTTAAAGAAATCGGGGCCACATGTGCACACGTTGCGGCCTGTGCACACGACCTGGACGTGCACAAATCCTGGGCCTTCTGCGGCACTAACAAAGAACTGGCGAACCTTCAGAGCACATGCCAGCACGGGGAAGGAGCACACACGCGCCTGCAAAACAAGCGCACCGCAACAGGTGAGTTCATGAGCTCGCAATGCGCTGCATATCCCCCTTCGTTGGCTGCGCAGCTTGCCTCCATCGCAGCCTTGTCAGTAACACAAAAGCTGGGCTCGACAATTGGCATCCAACAAGCGCTCTCACTCCTGCCATCGGAGTTTTCTCCGATCCCACGCCCGATTGTCTGTGATGGTTCTGGCAATAGCAGCACAGCCGACCAATGCCTGCCTCAGCAGTCGACCTGCCTGAAGCAACTCAGGGAGGCCTTCCTCGCGTTCATCGCAGACCACGACCTGGCAACCCGTATCCGCAAACACTTGGAGGCAGCAAAAGATGAGCACCCCCTGAGCCAGGAAGAGCAGCTGCAACTTGCAGCAATCGCTCATGCCATCATCCATCCCAACTGCACAGACGCCAACTGCCTCAGCATCCGCGAAGATCAACCCTTTCGCCTTCACCTGCTTCAGGCACTGGCATCGCGCACCGCAGACCCTGATGAGAAACTTGTCGAAATTCTCATCGAAGGGGTGCCAACGGGTGCATTCGAACCGCTCCCCGCAAGCGGACAGTGGATCGCAAACCACTTCAGCACAGCAACGCATTTTGACGAACCACTGCAGCTACTGCACTGCTCGGGCAATTGGACGCGAGCCGAAAATAACCCAGACATATTGCAAGAACTAATAAATAAGGAACTGCAAGGCAACTACATTGAGGAATTCCTCGGCAATGAGGAAGACGCAAAGAAGCGCTGGCCTAAAGGCACGGCTATAGGGAAGCTAAATGTAGTTTTAGCTGAAGGACGCGACCCGCGTATGGTGCTTGACAGCACCATATGCAATCTGAACCCGCGCTGCACGCTGCCAGAACGCATGCAAATGCCTACTGTCTGCGACGTGCAGCTCACGTATGCACCGCACGATCCGCCGGGTTTCTGGCACGGCCTATCGCTTGACTTCAAAGCAGCGCATAAAGCCTGCGTTGTCAGGGAAGATGAGCGCGGCACTCTTCTTTTCAGGCATAAAGATAAACTTTATTTCTATAAAGTGTGCCATTTCGGAGCACGTTTCAGCAGCTATTGGTGGCAGCGCCTCGGCTCCGTATTGCACCGCATAATGCACCACCTCATTAGCCACAGGCCGCACCGCAGCTTCCTGTATGTCGATGACATATTCGCAATGTTGGCGGCACAGCACAGCACAGAGCTCACTTGCCTGATCATATGCTTCCTAGCCGCGGTCAACGCCCCCATCAGTTGGAAAAAAGCACAGATCGGGCACTGCATCACTTGGTGCGGTTGGTCCTTCGATCTCTTGACCGACACCGTGCAACTCGTGCAGACCAAAATCTGCAAACTCCTAGAGCAGCTTGCAGCGCTGCGCCGCACCCCGAAAGTGCATCGCAGGGCCCTGGAGGCCGTGCTAGGCCTTCTTACATGGGCAACCACCATGTCGCCTCAGCTCCGCCCGTTTCTTGCACCGTTATACAACGACCTGCACAGTGCCAAGGGCACCCTGCACAGCATACCAGCATCGCAATGGACGCATTTTTACCAATCGCTAGACGATCGGGCGTGCGTGCAGCACACAGCAGGCATGTGGCTGCCAAAACAAGCCAAACTCCTGGAAGTTGGCAACATCAAGATTGAAAGCAAGGCAGATGTCCCACGAGTCCCCAAGAGCTCCCAACGCACTTGGGTCCGACTCGCAGATCCACACAGGCATGAGGTGCATCTAAAAAGGCAAAGCCGCGATGCACTACTTTGGCTAGAACAAGTGTTCAAGCACAGCAACCGCGTCCCTCTTCAGCTACCAGCCATGCTTCAATGCCTTAGCGCTGCAGACGCAATGGCAAAAGGCACCAAGGTCGGCATAGGCGGATGGATCTGCACCAGCTCGGGCTTCGCATGGTTCAGCGAAATTTTCTGCATGACTGAAGTACGGGCCATATGGCCACAACTGAAAGATGACGCGCAGCTCTACATAGCCTGTTTCGAAGTGCTTGCACAATTGGCGCTGCTGCAGCTCGCCTGGCAGCGCATGCGCGGGCACCGCATGCAATTCATCCTGCCTACTGGCTGCGACAACACCGCAGCAGAAAGCGGTATAAATAAGCTTTTCAGCACTGCAGAACCATTAAGCACCTTCCTGCGCATGGTGGCGGACTGGGCACACCGCCACAACGTGCAATTGGCAGTCTCCCATCTTGCAGGGGAAAAGAACACCTGGGCAGACGAGCTCAGCCGGGATAAACTGCACCGATTTATCCATCGCAACGCCGAACGGGTGCGGATGCCCCTGGCATTTTTAGCAGAAAACTGCCAATGCATTTCGCTCCACCCGCCGGATGCACACTGGCCCAACTCCTTGTTGGCAGCATCCAGCTAGCAAGTTGCCACCGCAGGCCGCGGGGAACCCTGCGCACCAGGGAAGACCGCACGCACAGCTCGCATAGCTCAGAAAAAAGGGGGCCCGTTTCGGCAATGCTCACTAGAACATAAGCTCTCTTCGGCTCTTATGCACGTGAACTTAGCATCTCTTACCCGTGCCCAGGTCAACACTGCGTCGCGGAAGGGGTGAGAGGCATGATCACAGTGTTGCCCGGAAGACTGAAGTGGGGGTCTCTCGGTTTTCCTGCAATGCACCGCGTGCGACTTCCGAGCAACATCTGTCAAAAAAGAGTGAGCCGGCGTAGAGCGAACTGTGATGTGCTGCACAAGGGATGGAGCCTGAACGTTGCGTGTGTACTTTTGGTTTTTGATTTACACGCATGTTTTGCACCATCTTCTTGTTGCTAACATGTATGCACGGTAACTTCAGGCTCCAGGACGTGCAGGCAGCAGCTCAGCAATCTTTTTCAAACAACCCACCCTCCTCACCCCAATTTCTACAGGGACCGCCGTCCCCAGGAGTCTCGCTTGACTCAAGGCCGCAAGACCTTTGCAGAGCACTCCACTCAAGACCGATCAAGTCTCACGGATCTCACCTATAGGGGGTCTCTCGGTTTTCCTGCAATGCACCGCGTGCGACTTCCGAGCAACATCTGTCAAAAAAGAGTGAGCCGGCGTAGAGCGAACTGTGATGTGCTGCACAAGGGATGGAGCCTGAACCCCCTGGTTCCTGCCCTGTGCCCGTGTCGGCGCCGCTTGGATGCTTATGGCGACCACAGTGCTTCTTGCCCACGCTCGGGTTTGTTGCGCTCGCGCGCTGTCCCGCTCGAGCGAGCTGCCGCTCGTGTCTGCAGAGAGGCCGGGGCCACTGTCGCCACCAACGTGCTGCTGCGCGACCTCAACCTCGTTGTCCAACGGCAGGACGAGCGGCGCATAGAGGTCATCGCCAACGGCCTTCCCCTTTGGAGTGGCGCCCAGTTGGCAGTCGACACCACGCTCGTGTCAGCTTTGGACTCGGCAGGGCAGGCTCGCCGTCACCAACGCCTCACAGCCGGAGCTGCCCTGCGCGTCGCTCGAAAGGCCAAAGAGCGGACATACCCCGAACTCCTCCGCTCCGCACGGTGCCGGCTGGTTGTGGTCGGGATTGAGCTCGGAGGGCGATGGAGCGAGGAGGCAGCCCAGTTCATCCGACTCCTCGCTCGTAGCCGCTCCCGCGCAGCCCCTCCCCTGCTGCGATCCAGCGCCTGGGCCGCTTACGTCGCCCGCTGGTCAGCCCTCCTCTCCTTTGCAGCCGTGCAGGCACTGGCCGCGAGTCTTCTCTCGCTGCCCCTCGCCATCGCGGCCAATGTTGATGGGGAAGCCTTGGAGTTGAGCGACCTCCTGGGCGCTGCCGCCTCTGAAGCAGCCCCACCCCCACCAGTCCCGAGCCGCTTGCCTCTCCGCACCTGACGGGCCCTGGACCTCCGTCCTCCCCGCCCCGCCCCTCCCGAACCATAGGGTGCACAGGGACCGCGAACCCTCATGCAGCAGCAAAAAGGAGCGAGGAAAAAAAAACTCCCAACACTCCGAGGGCTTGAGCCGTTAGCTACCCCGTCGGAAGAGTTCACCACTGCCCACTGCAGCCGTTTTGAGGCTCAGGAGTGTCCTACTTGAGCCCAGTAGGACCCCGAAACAGCCTGTTGCCGGAGACGAACACACCGCTCGGTTGGGTCCTGGAGCTCGCCGAGGCTGAGCAACCCTCCAGGATGCCCTTGCGTGCGTGATGCGCGCGAGACTGTTGCGGCGGAGGAAAAAAGAGTATGCGCAAAGTAAAAAAGTTGGGCCCAGTGTGCCGCATGAGGGTAGTCCGTGCCCACTTCATATTGGCCAGCGCAACTAAGGCGGGAAACGCATCACACGTGTGCACGCCATGCGGAGACGGGGGTTCAGGGTGACCTCCGCCTGAGAGCGAGCGGCGAGCCCACTTGCCACTGCGCATGGGTGGCCTTGGCTTGTCGCCAGCTAGGGCACAGGCATGCGGCGTAGGCGTATTGGGCCTCCTGGGCAGACACCGTCACCGCGCTGCAGGAGTGCCACCCTGGCACGCTCGCTGCACTCATGCAGCCCTTGTTGTTTGCGATCCGCTGGGGATGACGATGGGGTGACCCTCCGAGCGTGGAAACTTTTTCTCCTGGCGCCACGCATGCTCCTGGCCCGGCCATCCATCAAGCATGGCCCGGGCGGTCGCGAAGAGCTCCTCAGTCGCGCAGCGGCATTCCAGCAGGGCGAGTGGCTCCGCTTGCTGCGCGAGGCGCGCCGGTTTTTTAGGGTTTTGCGGGTTACGGGTTGACACGTGGCTTAGTCGTGACCTTCAATACGCTTTGGCGGCCACGTCCTCGGAGAAAGAGACGGGGACAGAGAGGAGAGTGAGAGAGCGGGGCGGGCAGGGCCTGATTCGACGCAGAAACGATTTCAGCAATGTGAAATAGGGAATGCATGTCTTACCCAACCCAGCCGTGACAGGGAAAGCAGCATGCCTTGACCTTCCGCTGTTCCGCTGAACACTAATTACAAGGGCCTCCCCAGCTTCACCGTCTGTTTGCTGCTTTCCGGCTCCTTTTTTGGTCTCGTGCCGACCCGTCCGGTCACGCCAGCGTGCCTGCTGCGCAAGGGAGTTCCCCAGTGAAAGAGGAAGAGAGAGAGCGAGAGAGAGTGAGAGAGAAGATAGTTTCGAAAAGCTCGGTCTTGAGCAGCTCCATAAACGTCGATAGATGATCTGTCCGCTGCCATTTTAGTCGCTCCATGGAGTGCATGGAGGCACCCTGGTTCGCAGATCTTCCGATGCGGTTAGTGTGCATTAGTAGGGCCATTGACTTTTCGTGTTGAACCTCCGATATAAGCTTTTGCGGCGTAGGCTTTTGGGGCACGGGCAAATTTTCTGAGCTACTCTTGGTGCAGCAAAAATCGGTATTTCGCTGTTTGAAAAAAACCGTCTGCTCTTGGGATGCTTTTGCCTCGTGTTGCTGTGGGCACAGGACTCATTGCATTGTAATGTTCTTCTTCATACCTGCTTTGAACACACTTTACGGATGGTGCAATGATGCTTGCGTGCGGGCTGGTTGCCGGGATTTGGCAGGACCAGCGCAAGGCGCCCCCATTAGATGGCCGAGGTTTGCTGGTGTATGACAGGTGTTGGAAAAGGCAAGCCATTTCCCAAAAACTGCAATCATCATTACTACAGTCACTGCAGGGAGTGGCGAGGGAACGCCCAGATGGCACCAGAAACCGCAAGCCGAGCATGAGGGAAATCAACAAGTCAGTTGGGGCTTGCTAAGCTGCATCAGGATTTGGGTTTTTTGTGTTGTGTGCAAGCCAGGCATCATTGTTTTCAGGTGTTGGGCGATAATCACCAGGAGGTGTCGGGTTGCAGCAGAGTGCAGGCTCAGGCCGCTCATGTGCCTAACGATGGTGCTGGTCTTGTGAGTGACAAAAGGGAGAAATGGTCAAAAGCAAAGGGGGGGGGGCCAAGGGTGCCTTGGTTTGAAATGCGTTGTCTTTGGCCGCGATGGCTCGAAAAGCCGCCTCATCCCAAGGATTGGTGGTGTGAGCGTACGACAACCCCCCAATCCCCCCCTCCCCCTTATCAACCATGAGAAGCGTCGTTCTAGGAAGGACCTTGATCTTCAAATCATTGTTCGTGGCAGAAGCGCCCCCTGAGCCATGCGCCCCTCTCTGCCGTGGGTCTTCGCCCTCCTCGCCCTGACGCAGGCTTCCTGGGAGCGGCTGCGGGACCTCTCCGACTCGTGGTCCCAGATTCCCTCGGCCCGTTCGGAGCACGTGAGCGTCTGGGATGACTCGCAGCGGATGCTGCTCGTGCACGATGGGAGCGGCTTGTCCGGTGACCTGTGGGCCTTCGATGCGGCTTTGCAGGAATGGGCCTTGGCGATGGCGTCACCTGCACCTGCAGCGCGCGCATCTCACGCAGCCAGCTGGGATGGAGCCGGGCGGGCACTGTGGGTGCACGGTGGTTACAACAGCCAGACAGCAACCTGGTATCGGGATGTTTGGAAGCTTCAGTCTGGGATGTGGACCCTGCAGACCAACGACCGTGGGCCATCTGGCCGACAAGGCCATGTGATGGTTTGGGACCCAGGCACTGCTGTCCTACTGGTCCATGGTGGTTGGACTGGAGCCAAGCGATTGTCAGACCTGTGGCGATACAGTGCAGACTCGCGGGAGTGGAGGTCTTTGGCACCCAGCAACGCGCCAGAAGCTCGCTCGCACCATGTGGCGGTGTGGGATGGGATTGGCCAGGTACTCCGACTCCATGGTGGCTACGGTGCACGCCTTTTCGGAGACTTGTGGACCTTGAGCCGTTCCCTTGTTTGGACAAAGGTGACCTTTCCTGGGGGCCCTACGCCCAGGTCAGGACACGTGGTGGCGTGGGACGACACCAGTGGCGTGCTGTGGTTGCATGGTGGCAACGATGGGTTTCTCAGGCGCGACCTTTGGAAATACGATTCGTCGGCGAATGCTTGGGATCTAATTGCGGAATCTGGGCCGTCGGCTCGTTGGGCTCATGCTGCGTCCTGGGACACTCGGGACCAGGTGATCTACATCCATGGAGGGTACAACGGCACGCTGTGCGGTGATCTCTGGAGGTTCCATGTAACAACAACCTCAACCACACACGCACGGACAAGTACCTCTAAGACATTGACATCCAGCTCCACCACCGGTGTCAGCCACACCTCCGCGTCGAGCAGCACTTCTCGCACGAGAAGCAGCTCGAGCAGGGCCAGCAGACGCTCCACAACATCCAGTGAATCCAGTTGGAGCACTTCAAGCACGCGAACCTCCAGCGCCACCAGCACCACCAGCACCACCAGCCACACATCGACCTCCAGCAGCACATCCCGGAAGAGCGTCGGCGCCTTGACAGCATCCAGTTGGAGTACTTCAAGCCTTCTTTCTTCCAGCACGACAGGCAGCAGCACGAGCTACAAGAGCAGCACTTCCAGCGATTTCTTCAGCACAACACCCAGCTGGAGCACATCAAGCACATCAAGCACATCAAGCACATCAAGCACATCAAGCACATCAAGCACGCGAAGCTTCAGCAGTTCCAGAAGTTCCAGCGGTTCCAGCAGCTCAACACACTGGACGGCGACTTCCACAACCACAACAGTCACAACAGCCCCTTTCCTTGTGGTGGCTAGCTTCCTTCCAGACTGGCTGCTTGTCCTCATGAACGTCTTTGCATTCCTGGTTCTTTTGATCCTTTGTGTATGTTGCATCTGCACAACTCCGATCGCCGTCATCCCTTTGCGTGCGGAGCTGGAGTGCTTACGACTTCCAGATCCCCAGAGACCGTTGGCACGAGTTCCTCCGAAGCCGGTGCACAGCCAGTCCCTGCGATTACAGGCGCGTCCACGACCTCCATGCCTTCCACATAACTCAGTGTTGCAACCCGACCCGGATCCTTGGACTGTCCAGGCATTCTGCTCAGGCTCACGCTTGCCGGAGTTCCGCGTCAAGTGCGAGCCTCGCGTGCGGCTGTTGCCAGAGTCCCCGTGGCAGGGGCAAGCTGTCAATGTGACCTGTGCCCGACGAGTGCTACGTTACCCCCCACCCTTACCACGTCTGCCACCTTTCCCAAGTGCCAAGAATCAGCATTCCGTCAGTTGTAACAGTTGCCGCTGCGCTGGGCCTCTGAAACCGCCAGGCCCACAGCCGTCGCTACCCAGAGCACCCCCTCCAAGCATGAGAAGGCTCGAGCCACCAAGTCGGCGCCCCCAGTGCCGGGTGCCGATCTCCCTGCCGGCGAGGGCGGTTCTGCGGAGCCAGCCGCGTGCTCGGTTGGTGCCAAAGTGGCAGTCCACGTGGCCACCATCAGCTTCCCCGGTGCCTGGAAAGCTGCGGGACCATGGTGAACCTGTCGCACTGCCACAAGATCCTCCCTGCACACAGCACGCGCCATCATCAAGTCAGAACCATGCAGGCCTCTGCATGTTTCACCCCCAACCGCCAATACCTAGAGCCCCCCATCCAAGCGTGTTGCGGATGGAGCCTCCGCTGATGCCACAAGCATCTGCAGCCACGCGCCTGAGTGCTCAGGTTCCAAACCACCCATCACCAGGTCCAAGACAGGCAGTGGCACGCAGTGTTCCGAGACAGGAGCTAGTTCCAGAGTCCATTGTGTGGCCGGCAGCGGTGGTCTTGAGGAGACTGCTCAGCGATCCGGAACCTGCGCCTCCACTTCCACAGATTGCTGTTCCGATGCAGGCCAACCAATCCGTGTTTCCTGAGCCGATTTGGGCACAGCTGGGCGTGACAAGCCCGCATCCGCAAATCGTCCGAGTACTGCCCCAAAGCAGTTCAGAAATGCCAGTTGTGCCGCTGATGCCAAGAGCACTTGAGCGTGGCGGCAGAAGGGGCCTGAATGCTCGGGTTAAGCTTGAGGTAAAGCTTCATTCTGCTCAGCTTTCCGGATCATCAACGCCTCCAAACCACCCATCGCCAGACCCATCACCAGGTCCAAGACAGGCAGTGGCACGGAGTGTTCCACGACAGAAGCTGGTTCCAGAGTCATTTGTGTGGCCGGCAGCGGTGGTCTTGAGGAGACTGCTCAGCGATCCGGAACCTGCGCCTCCACTTCCACAGATTGCTGTTCCGATGCAGGCAAACCAATCCGTGTTTCCAGAGCCGATTTGGGCACAGCTGGGCGTGACAAGCCCGCATCCGCAAATCGTCCGAGTACTGCCCCAAAGCAGTTCAGAAATGCCAGTTGTGCCGCTGATGCCAAGAGCACTTGAACGTGGCGGCAGCAGGGGCCTGAATGCTCGGGTTAAGCTTGAGGTAAAGCTTCATTCTGCTCAGCTTTCCGGATCATCAACGCCTCCAAACCACCCATCGCCAGACCCATCACCAGGTCCAAGACAGGTAGTGGCACGGAGTGTTCCGCGACAGAAGCTGGTTCCAGAGTCCATTGTGTGGCCGGCAGCGGTGGTCTTGAGGAGACTGCTCAGCGATCCGGAACCTGCGCCTCCACTTCCACAGATTGCTGTTCCGATGCAGGCCAACCAATCCGTGTTTCCAGAGCCGATTTGGGCACAGCTGGGCGTGACAAGCCCGCATCCGCAAATCGTCCGAGTACTGCCCCAAAGCAGTTCAGAAATGCCAGTTGTGCCGCTGATGCCAAGAGCTCTTGAACGTGGCGGCAGAAGGGGCCTGAATGCTCGGGTTAAGCTTGAGGTAAAGCTTCATTCTGCTCAGCTTTCCGGATCATCAATGCCTCCAAACCACCCATCGCCAGACCCATCACCAGGTCCAAGACAGGCAGTGGCACGCAGTGTTCCGCGACAGGAGCTGGTTGCAGAGTCACCTGTGTGGCCGGCCGCCGTAGTCCTGAGGAGACTGCTCAGCGATCCGGAACCTGCGCCTCCACTTCCGCAGATTGCGGTCCCGATGCAGGACAGCGAACTGCGCGCGAGGCTGCCTCTATGCGGTGAGTTGCACGGTTGGCGCCTTGAAGGCAGGCCACAGTTTTGGACCGCTGGTGGCCGACCACGTGTGAGGTTTGGGGTGCCCAAAGGGCGCGGCCCAGACGGCCCAGAGCCTTTCATGAGGCTTGGGTCGCTGAGGTGGACAGGGCGCTTCTAGGTTTAGGTAAGGCCTTTGTGTATGCACTTATAGGTACATGACAATAATGGAAGGGTAGCGTTTACAAGTATGAAAGCCAAAGATCAAAGGGCACATGCCTGGCACTGGATCCATTATGATCCATCCAGAGTCTGTACAAATAGTCCCCGGACTCAGACTGAGCATGCAGTGGCAATGCTTGCAAAGGAGGCTCAAGAAGAGCCCAAGCAGGCCACAAACATCGCATGCCAACGTGCGCAGCGCTGAAAAAGAGGTTGCATGGCCACCTTGACTGCGCTGAGCTGACCATAGGCGCAGCCACCGAAATGATCGTAAATTTAGGATGGCTCTGGCAAGCAAAGAAGCAGTGGCCACATAGCGAGCGATAGCGAGGAGAAAGACGTGTGCTGTCATGTAGAGTACCCTGTCATGTTTCCCTTCAACCCGAAGTAGCCGAGCTGCATCGAACAAATCACTGCATGGCACATCTTTCCGGTGTGATTCCCACATGGCATCCATGGCCACCGCTGTTGAGGTGCCTTGTGTGCCTTGTTTGCCTTCAGCAGCCAGCACCATCTCATACCCGCTGCGTTTGAGGCGGCAAGCTGAGGGGCGACCGGGGAGCTACGACCACTGTCGCCGCAGTGGCCAAACTGGATGCTGTGGTCGCGGCGCAGGCCGAGTTTCATGGCAATGTGGGAAGTTTTGTCACTGAGCCGCTTTAGTCAGAATTATTCAGAATTATTCGAGACGCTTGAAGTCTAAGTGCGAGGAATCGTGCTCGCAGTGGCTCTCTGCGGACAAAGCCTTTGGGACGGCATTACGCCCCTTCAGTCCTGTTCACTTTGCACTTTTGCAAATATGTTCGGAGGAGCCAGAGGACCAGCAAGGTCGGTTCTTCCTCGCAGAGCCGGACGTCAGCAGGCGTGGTGGGTGCAAGCATCACAGTGCAAGCATTCCATCGCGCGAGACTTGTCTTGGCTGCCGATGTTGGTTGTGGGGGTGGAAGGCTTGTGGAAGGGCGAGACCACAGCACCACACTAGAACTCTTGTCTTCGGCAGCCACTGCTTCCCTTCTGTAGAAGTATGACTCCGGTATGTCATGTCTGCCCGCATATGCACTTCGTCAGTGCGGGTGTTGATGCTTGCACTTGAAGCTTCTCACATCACAGCCGTTCACGTGTTGATCTTTGTCCATCTCCTGTACGCTCAGTCCACGCACTTCTACTGCTGTTGCCTAGTATGAGCAGTTCGTTCTTTCAAGGGGAGGAAAGGGGGCGGCACATGCGTTCATTTCATCTCCACTCGTTTCAACCCCTCTCCTAATGCTTTAGCAGTCCGTCCTTGTGTTTTCTCTTATGGCACTGTCGGAATCGAGTTCGAGCTTTGCATCCACTGCGCCTGACGTAGTTGCTCCTGAAGCTGGAGCCTTCTCATTTTGAAGAGCATGGCAGCTTTTGCATTCAGAGAACCGAGTGTGGAGTGATTGCGTCATTTTGCACGCCCCGGGTTCAATCACAACAGCTGGGGGAGATGCGCGGCATGGCATGTTGTGGCACTGTTGCAGGATGCAGCATCTGATCTGGCGGTGCCTGTTGGCCGGTCGGAGCGACCCAGGAGCATGGCTTAGCCTCCTGACAATGCCACTTCGTTCCTAGGCTTTCGACGGTTTTGTGTTGCGCAGGCCGGTTCAGCAGCTTCCTGCAGTGCAAGGACCTTTGCCAAGAAGCCACTCAGACGCACGTGATGCTTGTAGCTGATTCGGTTTATGCGCGGGAGGCCGGCTGCAGCGTTTGCCCGCTTTTCCCGGCAGCCCGTTTCAGTGAAGATGTGTTAGTTGTGCACCATTCCATAGTCTCTTGCTGACATATTATGCCGTGACGCCAGCATGTTGCACCATCTGTCCTCTTGCAGTGCAGGCAATGACTTAGCTTGCTCAGGAGGAAGCCTAGCAGAAAGAACGTGAACAAACTGTGGAAGAAAGCAAGTTTCAATTCTAGATCTGTGTGCAATGATGCCACTTGCTGCGCTGCGGGCATGGACATTGCAGACGCGTGTTTCCCTCAACGGGCCCGGCTTCTTAAACGCGCGCAAGGTGCTGGACAGCTTCGACGGACGCTCTGTGTTTGCACGGTCGATGAGGTGGACTGCGGCAGACAGCCACACACCACTATCACCGCCATCGCCGATGACAGGTGTGATTGTGGGATTTGCGCGCAACGGTTGGCCTTCTGTGAGGCTGTCCCAAGAAGCTGCGCAGCATGCGCGCTCGGCATCAGTCGTTGTTGCAGAGCCTTCCTTGCCAGATGGGACGCTGTTGATGCGTGGTCAGAGGCTCAAGTTGGCGATCTCCGGAGAAGGCCTCGATGGAAATGAGCGAGATACAAGCTGGAGAGCCATAGCGGTGCTCACTGAAACTGGCCCGAAGAAGAAGAAGTGCATCCACCCAACGCGAGTCGCCGCATTGTGCTCAAACTGCCCGCGCAGGACAAAAAAGAGAATCACTACGTTGCATGAATCAGGAGCCTGCGCTCCATTCTCTCTGAACTCTGTCCTTAGCAAGCATTCAAGATTCTGCATTGAGACGTTGAGTCAGTGCCTCTGATTTCGGCATACAGCGAGGTGATTGACAAACACAAGGCAGCAAGTGCTTCAAAAGACTTCTCAAGCCGAAGACGGTTGTGCAGTTTTGCGTGTATCTTCTTGCAAATTCCTTGACACTTTGTGCAGCATGTGGAGGGCCATGGCGCTTCGGGGACTTCGCAGTTGCCATGAGTTCGGAGTGGCCTCTGCGAAGGAGGAACTCAAGCGATGCCGCAAGCTCGCTCAGCTCGCTGGTGGCCTGCATCCCGATGTGTCTCCGGCAAGTACAAAGTGGCGCAAGTGAAATCAGACTGCTGCGAGCTGCTACGATTGCTCTTGTGTTGCGCGTGTCTTCGTGTCTCTCCCCTGACCTCGCTCCCTGCGAGGTCGCGCGGCAACTTCGTCGAGGCCGAGGCTTCGGCCGTCGAACCTTTCCCCACGCTCTCTAAAGCCAAGGTCGTTGGGGCGAAGCACTCCTGGGGTGGTGTGGCTGGCGTGGCGGCTGGTGCGGCTGGTGCGGCTCGTGCCTCGCCTGGCCTGACGTGGATCGCCGGGACCGCAACTTCAACGTCGACCACTCCAAGCCAGGCGACGCCAGGTACTCCAAGCAAGAACTACCAGGGCCAGCCTTGGAAGTGGAGGATCAAGGGGCCTCTGACGATTTCTGCTCAGAAGAAGGGCAAAGGTTTCAGAAGATAGCCACAGAATGCCCTGGAATGCCATTGAGAACAAAGTCGAGTCGCGCAACGGGCGCTGGCTGTGTCCGGTATCGCGTGTGGTGTAAAATGTTCGAGGTAAGCTGTCGCGCAACATTGCTGTCATATCAAGTGATATTTAGAGGTGCGGGGTGGGCGAGGGGCGGGATTGCACAATGGGCCAGTTGCAAGCTTCACAAGAAGCTAGAGGGTGGGTCAATGCAACGGTCATTGGTGGCGGTGTCAAAATTCATGCCCAAGGTGCAGTTGCACATTGCTCCACTGACGGTCTTTGTAAATGATGACATCCATGCTGCCAGGATTGCATGTCGTGCTTGTACACACTCTTGTGTTCTCGACTCTTATTGCGGAAGCGCCTCTGTACAACGCCGCTTGCGTTCTCGATAGCGTGCTTCGCTTGCGGCGCTGGCAAAAAATCTGTCGACATGTTTTTGATGACTTGCATGCTGGAAACTGCAAAGCACACGTTGTGTAGCTTGTTTGTTCAGCGGCCAGAGTCTTTGTGCACACGGCATGGCCTGTTCGCATGTGCACACACAGTGTTGCACTCACCCACGCATGGACAACGCATGCTTGCACGCATATAGGAATGGCGGCTCCATGCACGAACGTCCACGTGCGCGGTGTGTTTCCACACACACACCCATGCGTATGCGGGTTCACAAAGATGGTGACTCAACGGCACTGCCCGTGATCCTGCTACCACTATCTGCTTGCGTTGGCCTGGCCTTTCCCCCCCTAAAAACCAGCTCCTTCTTTGCTGATGCTCCGCTGTTTCTAGCATTGTACGCTGTTTTTCTGACAGCTCCTTCTGGATCAAATTCGGCCTGACGGGTGCTGGCTGCCACTGCGCAGCTAAGCTGAGAACATACCGTTGAACCTGATCAGGGTAATACCTGCGAAGGGAACTGGCCGGAACTTGAAAAACATGTTTGCCACAGGAGTGTCTCGCGTCGCCTCTGGAATGTGCCGCCTGGCACCGCGTGCACCTCGTGCAGGCTTGGCAGGCTTGGCAGGCTCCGGATGCACAAGCTTGCGCTGGAAGTCTGCGGTGTCTGCAGTGGTGGCCGCTATGCCCACGGATCCGGAAGCTTACGTCACAAACAAGTTGGCCATGTTCGATGCAATGCAGTTCACCCCGATTCGTGAGAGCACGGTGAGTCGGGAGATGACACAACGCTACATGTCGGAGATGCTGGAGTACGCAGAGACGGATGTGGTCATTGTGGGCGCTGGCTCGGCTGGGCTCTCGTGCGCCTACGAACTTACCAAGCACCCGGACATCAAGGTGGCCATCCTCGAGCAGAATGTCGCTCCAGGCGGGGGCTGCTGGTTAGGAGGGCAGCTGATGAGCTCTATGGTGGTACGCAAGCCGGCCGACGAGTTCTTGGATGAGATAGAGGTGCCCTACGACGACCAAGGCGATTACGTGGTCGTCAAGCATGCCGCCCTGTTCATGTCCTCCCTCCTGCGCAAGGCCCTTCTTGCCCCCAATGTGAAGCTCTTCAACGCCGTGGCTGTGGAGGATCTTCTGGTTCGGCAAGAGGCAGAGAGTGTGGCAGTTCGGGGTGTCGCCTGGATAAAGTCTCATGCTTGGCGTGCATCACGGTGTGCAAGAGAAGCACGGCTGGCATTTGCCCGCAACTCAGGTTGTCACCAACTGGTCCTTGGTCACCCAGAATCACGACACCCAATCCTGCATGGACCCGCAGGAGGGGGGGTTGGGGGGCGAGGGGGTTGCAGGAACAGAACTGGCAGTGCAGAATGCCTGCATTTGCGAGTGCTGTGTGAGCGTGATCTTGCTCATATTGATCCTTTGTCTGTTGTTGCCTTTCGCCAGGTGATGGAGGCCAAGGTGGTGGTGACGGCCACGGGGCATGACGGCCCCATGGGCGCGAGCTCGGCCAAACGCCTGGAGTCTCTTGGGGCGCTGCCGGCCGGACTGCCGGGCATGGGCGCCCTGGACATGAACACTGCCGAGGAGCCTACGGGGGAGCAGTGTCCAAGCCGCTTTGAGATCTCATGCTTCTTTTCTGTGGTTGCACCATGTGCAGGATGCGGTGGTGCAGATGACCAGCGAGGTCGTTCCTGGCCTGATCTTTGCCGGTATGGAGGTTGCTGAGGCACGTGGCTGCAACCGAATGGGGCCCACATTTGGTGCCATGCTCCTGTCGGGGCAGAAGGCGGCCAACTTGGCCATCCAGGCTTTGAAGCGCGGCTGACTCGGGGCCTTCGCTCGGAGTCACGGTTCATCCTGTCACCGGTGAGCATGGAGAGCCACTGGTGAGCCCCTACCGTAGGGTGATTTTGGCAACGCACCTGCGTTGAAGTAGACAAAGCTAAGGCAGGTCCGTTGAGTCTGAACTGCGATGCTGCCACTTTCGACCGTTCCAGATTTTGGCGAATGGCAGCGGCACGAGTTTCAAAGGCTTCGCAGTCCCCAAGGAAGGTTGAAAGCGACCGTGAAAAGCAGCCCGCTTCACAATGCTTCACAGAGCGCCTACATGCACCTACACGTACGCAAAGCAACCCAAATTGCGAACCCAAACTAGCGCGTGTTGACCTGAAGATTCTTTTGGAGGAGTCGTAAGGGCATCCAGCCAAGGCTTGCGCCGGGAAGGGGTCTTCAGCTTCGATCGCAGCCGCTACGATCTCCGAGGCCAGCGGGTTCACGGGTTCAGGCCTTAATCGTGGTTTGCCGCCCGTTTGCTTTTTTGCTTTTTTGCTTGCAAAGCAAGGGCTCCTACTGGCATTGCGCGAGTACGGAACATGGACGGCACCCCTCAAATTATCTCGTCAACGTGCGGCATGAGTGCACGACTGTGGGCTCTCTCGTTGTTTTGCCTCTCGTGTTTTTTCTCGCAATCTGTATATCCGCTCATACTATCTTCTCTGCGCAGTACCGAAAGAGGGCTTTTGTTTGTAGCACGCTTCTCGCAGCCGGTTCAGAGCAGGGTAGCGTCTGGCTCCGCCTTTCAACTTTTGCGGAAAGCGCAGTTGGAGGTCCCAGGTTTGGGACCACAGCCGTTCTGGGGTTTACATTTATTCAGCGCAGAGGAGGACAGGGGTTTGTGTGCTTGACAATATGACATTTACCTGTGCAGGTTTGCTGTACGCATGTGCAAGACCAAGTGCTTGTAAGGATTTTTTTTGGAAATAGATGATTTCCGTCTTGGCTTGGGCATGGCTCAATGTTTGTGGACGATCAAAGATCCGAAGAACTGTGGGGTCGTTCTTGAACGCATGGGCTCGTCAGAAACGTGGTCGTGCTGGCGCAGGGCAACGATTGCAACTAGACCCTGGGTACGTTGCAAACTGATTGCAAGGTTGTTTTACATGCCCCTACTTTGGCGGTCGCAAGGGCTACAAGAAAAACGCATCTTGGGCACGATGGCTTGGGTCTCTTCTGGCAAATTGGGCTTGTGCGGGCAGTTGCTTGGGCCGTGGGCAGAGGCTGTGAGTGCAGAGTGGGTTTTAGGAATGCTTTGTGGGGCTCCATGTCCAGGCCTGGCAGCAAGCCTTCTTGCGGAGGCAACACGGGTTGTCAGAGGGTTGCAGAGGGGCACAGCACATTTTGCAAAGCAGGCAGGGCCCTTGCTGGGCTTCGGCTGCTTCGTCGGCTCGTCTCTGTCCCTGGAGCGCTTCCTGGCCGAGGCGCCCCAGCTGCGCACGAAATTGCCGCCCAGAGAGAGAGTTCAAGAGAGTTCAAGAGAGTTCAAGAGAGTTCAAGGGAGTTCAAGAGAGTTCAAGAGAGTTCAAGAGAGTTCAAGAGAGTTCAAGAGAGTTGAAGAGAGTTCAAGAGAGTTCCAGAGAGTTCAAGAGAGTTCAAGAGAGTTCAAGAGGCTTCCAGAGAGTGCAAGCGAGCTCAAGAGAGTTCCAGAGAGTTCAAGAGAGTTCCAGAGAGTGCCAAGGGGGAGAGACGACCAAAGGGGGGGAAATTGAAACCATGGAGAACAAACAAGACGGGAGGAGCGGGTCTTCAGCTCCTTCTCCTACGAGAAAGCCTGGCGCCGGTGCGTCCTGGGCTCCCCACCTTTCCTGGCGGAGTATGACCGCCTCTTGGAGGAGGTCATCTGCCCGCACCTGAGGCAGGCTCAGGAATGAAACAGACACACATGAGGGCTTCTTACATATATATACATATATATATATATATCTATATAATTTATATATATATATATACATATGTATATATATATATATATATATTCTATATAGTTTATGTGACATGGTACAAGTTCAAGATGAGGGAGCGCATGCGGGATGGCATTTGCCGTTACATTGCATGGCCCTAGTTTGGCTTCGTTGCTGCGCAGGGGCATGTTGGAGGAGGAGGACGGCCCAGTGGCCTTCTACTGTCAGCACCCTCCCACGCTTCGACTGCAGCCGGGACGCAGCAAGCCGGTCCCCCAGATTCTTCCCATCCCATCTCAGAACAGAAGTTCTTGTGTTGCAGAGCTGCGTTGTGCTAGTATGTCGTGAGCTCCGAGGCAGTCTCGCTTGCTGCATGCGGACAAGAGGTATGGTCACCAAGCAGGTGAGGTGAACTTTTGGATGCCGCTCACGGAGTACACCTTGACCAGGACTCCTCCGACCCCTCCTCCGACCCCTCCTGGCCCTTTTGGCCCTCGGTTTTTCTTGGCTTGACAGGGCTTGTGCTTGGCTTTTGGGTATTTTTTGGCTTCACACAAGCCATCGCAAACCCCTCTTGTGTGTGCAGGACCACGCTTTGGATCGAATCTGCCCCGGGCAAGGGCGACTTCCATCCCCTTGAGATCCATCCCGGCGACATCGCCACGCACTCGGGTGCATTCGCAAGTGACTGCATAGTCCGGGGAACTGCTCTTGTCCTTTGGCAGCCATGCCAGCTGTTGAGAGGCTATGTTTCACGGGACGCTAGTGCGGCACTTTGTTCCGCCCAATCGTACCGAGCACACACGTGTGTCCTTGGACTTCCGCATCGGTGTGGGACAGTACTTCGACCCTGGATGGCGTCCGAACCTGAGAAGAATGCACCGCGCAGATGAACGTGGGAAAATGCCATAAACAAGGCATGCCAGGACTACGGCATTATCACCCGCGCAGGACCATCGTGCTGTGACAAGGCCGCGCGTTGTGCTTGGCAATTTCTCCCCAAATTGCGCATTTTGCCTGGCGATCACAGGCCGTTTGAGAGACTTGCGGGCTTTTAGCCAGAGGAGCCAGGGCGGCTTGAAACCTTGGACCGTAGGCCCGAAGAGTGTTGAGTAGAACGGTCCCTGGGCCCTCCGAGAGCACTTTGATGTGGGGAGAGAGCTCTTGTAGCGTACGTTGCAGAGCGCTTTCAGAATGGGAGAGGCGTAGATGGGTTGTCGAGGCAATTTGCAGATGCACAGTTCAAGTGAAGCACGTGCTGACCTCGGCGCTCAATACCGTAGAGAAGGCAATGCGTCCTTCCAAATTCTAACGCGTTGGTTTGGGGTGATTTTCGGGTAGCAAGTGACGGGGCGTTGAAGTCAAGGCCACAGGATCGGAAGGTTGTGTCATGTTCTGTAGGTTTCGCTGATTCGAGCCGACGTGTCTTTGGGCTCACCGGCCGTTTGCGAGACCACGTTGAGTATTGAGTGGCCAGCCAAGCCTCAGAACATCAGCTAGATGGGGGTCCAACCTTGCGAGCCGTTCAGATGTTCTCAACAAGCAGTGCTGCTGTTGAATGCTGTTAAATACCACCTGAGGAGCTTCGCAGGATTTCGCAGTCTTCGCAAGCTGCACATGGCTCAGCGAGGACACCTGGGACATGGAGGCCCTGGCCAATTCGCCCAACCAGAACAAGGGCCAAGACAGCCGAGAGAGGCAGAGCCTTTCCGGCACGTCATCTCCCTCGGCTGCCGCTGCTCCCAGTCCTCGATCTACAAGTCCATGGGGGCACGCCGCTACGCATGCCCCTTTGACTGGATCTTTAGCTCGGCGGCCGTGGTGTCCCATTGCTTAAAGGATGACTTCAAGCAGTTCCTAGACAGAAGCCTGTATTTCCTGAATGGCAGCTCCTTCGATGCTATCGGCCTCAAGCCGGGGTCTGCCCCACGGGAGCGAAAGCTCATTGGCCACAGCACCTATTCTTCCATGACCGCCGGTGTGGGGCGGGGCACCATCTTCAACCACCGCGACCCGCTGCACAATGACTCGGACTTCCAGCACACGCAGCGCTGCGTTCAGCGCTTCCGACGTGTGCTGGCATCTGCCGACCGCAAGCTCTTTGTTGTGGTCAACTTGAATCCGCAGCTTTGGATCGAAGCAGACGTCCTGGAGCTGTACCAGGAGCTGGCACAGCGCACGTCCAACTTTCTTCTACTGGTGTTGGACTGCAGCAACAAGAATCTGGGGCCTGGTGTGGCGCAACTCCCTGCAGAGGCCGTGGACAGAAACGAGACAACTTAAGCCGTAACGTGCCCCTGCAGACTGCTACAGCCGATATCTGGCTAATTAGGAGCGGAAGGTGACATTTTGTGTGTCGTGTTGTGATGCGCGTTGCCATGTCAGTGTTGCCAAGTGCTGTGAAGGAGCTGTGCCGGCAGCAGCATGGAGGGCGTGGCCTCCTCATGTGCAGGCTTCGGTGCGTCGGCGACAACACCGGCTCCTACTTCCGCGAGGAGGTGGACGCGCGGCGCGTCCGCAGCGTGCTCCTGGACCCTTACCGCTTCGACCTGGCCCCCGACCCGCTGGAACAGGAACCTGAGGAACCTGCGGAGCCCGCCGCGCGTGCCGCGCCCGCCGCCGAGCCAAGGGACCGCGGCGTTGGCGGTGAAGGCTATGGCGACTATGGCGACTGCGACCGAGCCCGAAGCAGGTGGAGGTGCAAAGCCGACAGAGCCGACAGAGCCGACAGAGCCGACAGAGCTGACAAGGACATGGAGGAGGCGGAGATGCTGGAAATGCCGATGGAGCAAGCACAGCAAGCACAGCAAGCGCAGCAAGCGCAGGTTGCTGAGCCACGCCGCCGCTGGGCGCGAGCTTCATAGGACGTCCGGATCCTGCGCGGTGCCGATGGGTGCCTGAGACTACCTGAAGCCTCTGCAGCCATGCAGCGTCCCTGTACAGTGTACAGAGTGCACAGAAATTACAGAGAGCGTCGGGTGCGTAACGAGACGCTGACGACGGACTTGATGTGGGAAGGCCGATACAGCAAAACCACTTCCAGTCTGTCTGTGTGCGTGCGCGCACACGTATGTATATGTATATATACACACCCATATAGATGTGCATTTCTTCTGCAGTGTGGGGCACGCAGTCCAGGTTGGAACCAGCATGGCTGCAGAAGAAGCTGGTAACTGATAACATGCAGATTTCGCCTGGCCATGGAAGCATGTGGAAGTCGGCGGCCGCGGGGATCGTGAGCGGTGCCCACGGAAGTTGCCCAGCGCAAGCTTCATGAGCATCAGCTTTCGGACTTTCGGCTGGCCATGGATGCTGCCTCGTGAGCATCAGCCGAAGGTGCCTAGCGCTACAGTACCATCATGATAGAGCATTTACTTAAGGGCCCACAGGGCCCTTTATTACCCACAGGGCCGAGTGCTGGTCCCGAAGAGAATGGTCCAGGGCGTCCTTCATTGTCTCATGCAACACCGCTGCGCCTTTTCCACTTTGGGTACTTAGATAATACTGCCCTGGCCCTACCTCAGCACAGGGCGAGCGATAGAGAGAGAGCCCAGCAACGGCCCTCCTTCCGGGGGGTCAAGTGCTCAGGAAGGAAGGAAGGAAGGAAGCAAGGAAGCAAGGAAGCAAGGAAGCAAGGAAAAGAGAGAAAGGGCTATGTGCACAGGAAGGAAAAAGAAGAATAGTAAGAAGAAGGGGGAGAAGCAGGAGAAGAAGAAGAAGAAGAAGAAGAAGAAGAAGAAGAAGAAGAAGAAGAAGAAGAAGAAGAAGAAGAGGGAAGAAGAGGGAAGAAGAGAGAGGGAGAGAGAGGGAGAGAGAGGGAGAGAGAGGGAGAGATGTCTCGCGTTTGGCCACCAGTCTCTACCAGACATGGGGCGCGCGCGAACTGTGCGGGGGGTCTTCCCCCAGGCCCCATGAAAGAAGAAATAGGAGAGAAGCAGAGTGGCCGAGCTCTGATGGGGAGGGGTTTTCATGCGCAGAAAGAAAGAAAAGCAGAAAGAAAGGAAGAAAGAAAGAAAGAAAGAGAGGAGGAAGACATCGAGAGATTTGGGCGCCGGACTGTTGCATCAAAGGGACACGGGGACTGGGAGGAGAGGGGGAACTCAGAGGGAGATCCTGAGATCTGAGATCCTGAGGCATCAGACAAAAGCCGCGGCGCTCCAAGAAGCGCTTGAAAAAAGACGCTGCGGACTCGGCGAAGTGGCGAAGGGAGAGACTTCGAGTGCTCATCCGCGAGCCTTGGCACGCCTTTGCTTTTGTTGCAAGTGTACCTCATGTACCTCTGATGCCCAACCGCGTCTTTGGCTCCAAAACAACCCAAAGCACCCCAAAGAGGTGGGGGGGGGGGTCCAGTTGAGAGTCCCAGAGTGCGCGGAGCACTCCCCGTGCGGACATTCGGAAACTGGCCTCGCTGCGGCTTCGCCCTGCATCCTCATCACCAGCCCTTCGAAGGCAGCTGTAGGAGTTGATCTTGAACCAAAGTGTGCATCTGCGTGAGAGGCACGAATTTAGAAGAAGCAAAGCTTGCACAACCTGAAGTTGTAGCTTTCGAGTTGCTTGGCAGGCTGCCGTAACTTGCAACAGCCACCCATCGGCCGGAACCTTTTGAACCTCTTCAACCTCATGACTTCGACAACGTCATCGCAGGATCACTGCAGCCATCTCGAGTTCCAACATGTTGTGCCAGCAGTTGGCCGGGAAGTTCGTAGCTTCACCCTTTGTTCACTTCGCGATCCGGGGGTTGGAACGCAATGGAACGCAGGACCCCGTGCGTGCAGCGCCTCTGAGGACGGATCCGGCTCTGACTCCGAGCAGGGTTTGTGCTCTCGCAGGTAGTAGGAGTTCTTTCGATGTCTTTGTTCAAGAGGAGCTGCTACGATCAGCTCGGAATCCAGCGCCCGGCTCTTGATCGAGTTTCATGATGCATCATGTCCGTCATGTCGGTGGCCGCTTGAGATTGCAAGAATGGACATTTGCTTCGGCTGTCGCTGTGGCTCCAAGCTGTCCAAGCTCCAACATGTAGAGGTCCGGAGGGGTGACTGGAGTGTCATGGTGGTGCCCAGCAGTGAAGCCTACAGGCCACTGCGTGCTCCCGAGCTGCGCTGGCTGTGCACCCAGCGCGGCCTGAGCCCTTATGGCTTCAAGCAAGACTTGGTTGCCAGGCTCGACGAGCAAGACCGGCAGGGAGTGGAAAGCTCTTCGGAGTGTATTGCCGCAGGCCTCGAGCCTTTCCGAGAGTTGGAGGAGCTGGCATCGCAGTACGCGGCGAACCCGAACAACCTCAGCCCTGTCAGCGTGAACCCGCGGGTGGCTGCCACACCCAAAACGGCAGCCAAAGCCAAGGAGCCGCCGCAGACAAAGGCGACACCGGAGCCAGCTGTAGAGGCAACGCCTTCGGCCATGGCCCCCGCCCAAGCCAAGATGCCCCCGATGCCGATGCCCATGCCCCAGCCGGGCCCGGCCAAGCCACTCACCGAAGACGAGCGAGCCCTCAGGGGCCTGCTGGAGTTCTTCGCATGCTCAGATGTGAAGGGTCAGAGCAAGCTCTTTGCCGTCAAGTACCGGGAGTTTGTGCGGACTGTCTTCGACTTCTTTCAGTCCGACACGGTCTCGGGAATGACGGGAACGCCCACGTCAAGGGCAAGCACTGCAGCTGCTGCCGCTGTTTCTGCTGCCGCTGCGACCACTGACGCCATCCTCCGAGGAAACATCGCGGAGGCCCCGGATGGCGCCGCCAACCCGAACGAGACCTGGTCTGCCGAGATGTGGCAGAAGTGCCAGGAGGTCATCGCCACGCACCTCGAGGTCCGGGTCAAGGGGTCGACGTCTTTCAACGTCTTTCAACATCTTTCAACATCTTTCAACATCTTTCAACATCTTTCAACTGATCTTAAAAAAGTGACCCGCAACTGCTCTGCAGTTTGCAGCCTCTAATCCCCTGTGACTTGTGAGGTCTGCCACCTGCAGATCAAGCACGACGCGCTCTTCGCGGAGCTGGAGGCGATGTCCAAAGCCGCCGCAGAGAAGACGGACGAGATCAAGGAAGTCCAAGGCAGACTCGATCAGCTCATGCAGAACGAGGCGCAGCAGCGCCAGCACCTCATGGAGCGCGCGCGGGTTCAGATCGGCGCCTGGCTTGATCGGTCGTAGCGAGCAGCGAGAGCCTGCAGGAGCCGGCTCCCCATGGGGAGCCACGACGAGCCATGACGAGCCCTCCGGGCCTCCTGCTGTATGTTTCGCACTTGGAGTGCGCTAGCGTCTCAAAATGTCTTTTGCCGCATCTGGCGCGTGCCTGCCGTGCCGGTCTCTGCTGGCCCACGGGCCGTGTTTGCCCAACATCTTGATGCCTTGAAAAATTTCTGACCTGAGCCGACGTGTGATGGCGCGAGATGGCACCAGGCAGCGCGACGGACAGCCAGATCCGACGCGCTTTCCACATGAAGGCGGCTCCTCGTGAGGTCTTGCGAGTGGATGGGACTGTCCTGACATGTGTGTTCCATTTTCTGAGCAACTTTTGCTTCATATGAAGGCGCTCCAATGGCACCCTGACAAGTGTAACGCCCCGGATGCGGCCGACCAGTTCCGGAAAGTGAAAGAGGACCCGATGCCTGAAAGAATGACAGAGGGTGGGTCTCTTTTTTGCAAAGCAATCAATTTTCTCCGTGGCGCGGAGGCCTTCCAGATCCTCAGCTCCAAGACGACTCGTCGCGAGCACGATGCAAAGCTGGATGCCGGCGCCTTTGCTCCCACTAGGCCACTCTCATCCAAGTGGCGTTCCACACTGAAAGTGGGAACTTGAACAAATCGAGCGTGAACCGAAGCTTCTTCAGACCCCAGCTGCATACCCCCCTGAGGCCGCCCAGGTGCATGTGCCGTTCCCTGATGCGAGACCTGTGAGACCTGTGCCGGCCTTGGTGTCTCCTTAAAGCAAAGGTCTTAGTCTTAAAAAGGTCTCAAGAGGAAGCTTGTGACTCAACTCAGGAGAGGGCCCCCACTATAGAAAACAGTTCAATAACGACGTTTCTCTGGAGCTCCCGTGTCCCGTGCTTGTCTATTGTAGCTGGGTTGCCTTCTTTTCTTTAGTTTCAACGCGAAGAGTCTGAAGAGATCTGAAGAGTCTGCTATGTCAGATGTCTGCTGTGCTTCTTTCTCCCCAGGTTCGGGAGCCCATCGCCACCTTCCGACAGCTGCTGTCGGATTCAGGGAAGGCATTGGCCGTGACGGAGCTGAAAGCCTGGTAGCGGCCCCGGACTTTCAGGGTGTTGACTCAGGGGTGTACTCTGCTCTACTGTGGTACCGCTCCAGCTTTGAAGGGGTTGGGGGTTGGGGAGGATTGGGGAGGTTTGAGGGAGGCGGGGGGCCAAAGTAGCGGGTTGTGAGCACGCTCGATCGATGGTTCAAAACTAGCGGCATGGGCTCCATGCTGAACTCGAAGGACCCGAAGCTGTAACAAGGCATGTTCATCTGAGAGAAATCGAAGGTGTGTCTGTCAAACAGGCACGTAGGGTCTGTGCCAGCCGCATGCGTGTAATGCAGTCTTGACGTTGAGCCGCTTTTAGAAGGACTCGCATGCTCGCGAACCCTCTGAGCGTGCAGCCGAGGTCAGCGAGGTGTGGGATCCCGTGGCCTATGGGCTGCTTCGAGAGAGCGGAGCTCCTCTCAAAGCTGCAGCAAGAAGCCGAAGGCCGAAGTGAAATCAGCAGACTCAGGCTGATCTTTCCCCCCCCCAAAAGGTGAGCTGGACCGCCGCGTGCGCCGCCAGGCGGCTGGTTTTTTTTCCTTGGGGTCCATCCCATTTGTTGGGAGTTTTTGGGAGAGGAGGTCCCCCATTTTGTGCTCCCAAGCTTTGATGACAGGATTGGCCTGAGCTGCACAAGGCGGACCTGGTGGCCTGGTCCCGGCCCGAGGATGTTTGAACGTTCGAATGTTTTGGAGGCCTCTCGGAACCCTTCTGCCGTCCCCTCCCAGGCTGGAAGCACGCGGCTGCAGCTTGAAGTTCGCCCTGGAGGATGATGCGGTGGACAAGGCCCTCCACGTTTCGATCAAGATGCTGCTGACTTGACATCTCACATGAATGCAATTGTACTTAGAAGCGGCTCATCCAGCTGGTGCTGGGATCTCGGACCGGACCAGTCTCCCAACTTTGCCTACGAACGCCTTTTTGATGCATGAGGTCTGGCCGCTTGGCGCGGGAGCCGTGCCATCCGTGCCCAACAGCCAGACCCTCGTCTCCGCGCCGGGCCCAGGAGCTTTGGGGGCCACTACACAGGCGTCACCAGGCTTGTCAATCTCGAAAGATCAAGGCTGCAGCAGCTTTTCATGAACTCAGACTCCCGAGTCAAAGCTTAGAGATTTGTCGCATGTCCCCTGCCTTCGTCCTCTTTTCGTGCTCGTAGGGTTCCCAGAAGTTTGGCGCATGTCCCCCCTCTTCGTGCTCGTAGGGTTTGGAGGGGCCTGAGGTTCGTCATGCGTCCCCTCCTTTCGTGCTCGTAGGGTTTGGTGCACCCGTCCCTCCCTGCGTGAGGGCCCAGCATGTCACCTCCCTTCGTGCTTGTAGGGTTTGGTGCGGGCCCTTTAGGTTTGTCGTATGTCCCCTCCCTTCGTGCTCCCTTCGCGCATTCATACGCGGGGTTTGCTGAGGGCTCGAGAGGTTTGTCGCATGTTCCCCCCCTCCCTTCGTGTCGTCCCCTCCCTTCATGCTCATAGGGTTTGTGTGTCCCCTCCCTTCGTGCTGGTAGGGTTGGTGAGGGCGCGAGAGGTTAGTCGCATACCCCGTCCTTCGTTGCTCGTAGGGTTTGGTGAGCGGTCATGCCTGCCCTTTTCTACTTTCTGCAGATCAATCCTTGAGGCCAGCCTGCAGTCGGAAGCTTGGCCCATACAGCTTGCAGCAACATTGCAGATCTGGGCTGCTCGCGTGCGCACCCACGTGGAGGCCCGCACATGTTCGGATCGCCGACGGCAGCAAGTCGAGCCCCTTCGCCCTCCGCGTCTTTTGCGCCCTCTCCTTCCATGCCTTCAGCGCCTTCCGCGGCTACGAGCTGCACAGTCAAACCTTCCACTCCCACCAAAAGAGTCGGGGAGCCAAGGTACCAGAAGCCAAAGCCAGCGGTTGGATTCAGTTGGGCGTACATTTGTCCGTTTTGAGATCTGCTGCCTCCGAGGCACGCAAGAGCAAAGGTGGATTCTGCTGGGCGGCCTTCTGGCTTGGAGCCAGGCCACAGCCACTTGCGGACATAAGCCTGACATATGTACCCGAAGGGATGCAGCTGAAGCATTCCGGCGTATTCCGGAACATTCCGGCATGCGGCATATTCCCGGCAGGCCGCCGGCGGAGGCGAAAGCAAAGCCCAAGGCCAAGCCTAAGGCCAAGGCCCAGACGAAGAAGGCTGCCGCCCCGAAGAACGAGCCGGCAAAGCCGGCCCCGAAGCGCAAGAGGCAGGTTCGGCAGGGGTTCAGGGCTCCGCCCCCAGGCAATCTTGAGCTCACAACCCCCACAGGTGCAGCTCGTCGGAAAGGCCATCCAGGCCCACTCCCAGAGCCTGCTCTCGAAGAGTTTTCGGGGAGACTTTGGGATCCGTTTCTGAAGGAGTCGAAGTGCGACGGCCGCAACGGCTGCGACAGCTGCTGCTGTGCAGGGGACAATGGCGACACCCAAGGAAACGACGCAAGAGATGCCCCAGCCGCCCCTCGATTATTCAAAGACTAGATGGAAATGGTGAGTGCACCTCCACATGTTGCAACATGCTTTGATCTTCCCAAGGCCAGTGGCCTCGTCCACTTCCTCCAGCTCAAGTTCCTCGAGTTCCGAGCCGGCGGCTTGTGAACGGCAGTCGAGCCTAATAAACGAGTGCTTTAGCCAAGCGCAAAACAGCAGGTCCTCGCAGAGCTCAGAGACCTCAGGAGACTCTGGAAGCTTGCAGGCGCGGTGGCCTTGCTTGTCGCCTTTCTCTTAAGGGCCATATCTCGTGCGAATATAGAAAGGTGGCGAAGGCGCCTCCGCAGCCCAAGCGGCGCGAAGGGCTCAGACGGTTTGTGGGGATGGCCCCCCATGAACATGTAATATCATGTGACATGTGATGACACATTTTGGAGTAATTGACACGTCGCAGGTCCTCGCAGGGAAGCCGCTTCGGGCGACCGAGCGAAACTCGAGGAGAGCTTCGGCACAGATCGGCTTTATCAGCTCGCATCGGCGAATCGGGGCCGTTGGATCTCATCGCATCTCGGATCTCGTCGCATCTCGTCGCATAGCTCTGCTGCGGGTTGAAGGAGCTGCGCGCAAGGCTTGAGGCGAGATTCCGAGAGTCGAGATGCCTTCTGCAGTACTTGAGCAGAAGAATAGGGGCCTTTGAACAATTGTTGGGCTGCTGTGGTCTTAAGAGGCCCTGCGAGAGGCAAAGATGGAGGCGGACTATCCCAAGGCAGGAAATGTCTCGACTTGTGCGCTTTCTTGTGTTTGTGTCTGCATCCTCCGGCAAACCAACCTTCAACGATGTTAAAAAAAGTGTGTTTGTTGAGAGGCGCTCCCTGTCCTGAAAGAGCTGGGCACGTTGGACGAGCAGGGAAGGTTCCCGCACTCAGTTGTCCGGTTCATGCGGATATTTTCTCCACGAGTAGGGGTAAGCCTCGAGTCTGATACATCCCATCCCAGAATACCTATGCTTGTACAGTTTTTGGATTCCCACCTACCCCCCCCTACCCCATTTTCAGCAAAAGTCACAAGCGAGGGGCTTCGAAGCTGAGACTTTGAGACTTCGAAGATGTTCGATCTCGAAACGTTCAAAGGCTCGAGCTAGCTCGAGCTCGATTACTTCCTCGCAAACTCAATCTCCAAACTTTTTGCGATCCCGACTTTGAGAAAAGTTCAAGCTTTGAAAGTTTGGAGTTCGACGGAGTTTCGAGACTGAGAGCTCGAGAGTTTGAAGCATCTCGACCTCGAACGTTGGACCCGCGACCGAGTTTGAGAGTTTCAAAGTTTGACAGTTGATAGTGTCGAGTTTCGAGTTTGAGGTCATCCGTAGGTAGGGAGGCCACGACTGCGAGTTTGAACGTTAGAAAATGCTGGAGTTCGATCGTTTTGAACGTTTTGGAGTTCGCAGGTTTGAGAGGTTGAAAGTTCGCAACGTCGCGTGCGCAGGCAATCACGGACAATGACGGACTGTCGCAATAACATGTTTGTCGCGAGCAAAAAAGCAAGACGAGTTCGGAAATCTGCACCCTGTGACTTTCAGCATTACTCGCGTTTTTAAAGGTAGCTGGCAGGGTGTTGAGCCCAGCCTTTCAGCGCAAGCCTCCGATGATTTAGGACTGAAGCTCTGAAGCCCTTGATGCAAATCGAAGAACCCTCCCCCCCCGACCGGCACACCGGCTAGGCAGGTCCTGCGCCTTTGCCGGGCGGCAGCGTCAATAGAAGACAGCAAGATCCAAAGCCCTGCTGAGCCTTAGGTTCAGAAACCTTTAGCCCGATGAAGATTTGCGCATCAGTATCTTCGGCGCTTCACCCTAAAATCTTAAGTCGCCAATATCACTTAAGTCACGAATATCGGAAGCCCTGAACCCTAAGCCTGTAAGGCTTAAACAAGAAAGCCTAAGCCGTTAACCTTAGCATCTTCAGGCCTATGCACCAAACGCCTAGACCCTTAACCCTAGAATCTGAAAACGCGAACAACAAAACCCCACAGTAAGACTCCCCAAGCCTTAGCCCTGCAACCTTACTAATTAGGGTCCAAAACACCACGTCCAAAGACCTTAACCCTGAAGCCGTAAGGCTTGTGCGCCAATACTTCAGCCCTTAACCCCAAAATCTTGACACTGAAGCACCAAAACCAGAAGCCATTAACCCTAAAACCTTGAAGCTTAAGCATAAATAAATAAATATATATATATATATTTATTTATTTATCATTAAGCCCTTGACGCTGAAATTGCAAGACTGAAGCACCCAGACCTTAAGCCACCCAAATGATTAGGCCTTTAACCTGTAAACCTGAAGGCTGTAGGCACCCAATAAACCCTTAACCCTAAAATCCGAGGGTTTAAACACCAAGACCCTACGCCCTAAACCCAAAACCTTGAGATTTAAAACACCAAATCTTCAGCCGTTATCCCGAAAATCTTAAGGCCGAGCATCAATTCCCTAAGCTCGCATCCCCTTGTGGTCTAAAACGCCTGAACACCAAGATCCAAAGCCCTGAACCCTGAGTTCTTAGGACTAGGCATGACATCAGAAACCTTTGCCCGACAAAATGATAAGATTTCAGCACCAGTATCTCAAGCTCTTCAGCCAAAAATCTGAAGACTTAAGCAGCAATACCGTACCCTAAGCCCTTCTGCCCTTAACCTTAAAATCTTCAGGCCTAAACACCAAAGGCCTAGACCCTTAACCCTAAAATCTTAAGACGTAACCACCAAAGCTCTCAAGCCCTTGGCCCTGAAACCTTAGGGCCTTAGGTTTCAAAACTCTTTGGACTTAACCCTACAGTCGTAAGGCTTGCGTGCCAAAAACTTCAGCCCTTAACCCTGAAATCTTGACACTTAAGCACCAAAACCCGAAGCCCTTGATCCGACAGCGTAAGACTGAAGCCCCAAAACCTTGAGCCCTTACCCCTCAAAGCTGAAGCAACCAAATCATGGGGCCCTTAACTCCAAAATCTTCAGGCTTTAGGCACCCACACCATTAAGCCCTTAACCCTAAAGCCGTAATTTTAACGCTACGCGACCCGCCTCGGCCCGGCCCAGCGCATCCGCGTGAGCATGGTGATTCCGCAGCGCCCAAGTCGCTGGACCCCAAGCAATAAGGGTTGGGTTGAGGGTTGAGGGTTGAGGGTTCCGGGTTTATGGTTTATGGTTTGGGGTTTGGGGTTGAGGGTTAGTTTAGGGCTCAAGGTTCACGCTTTGGGGTTGAGGGTTTTTTTGGGTTTAAGGTTCGGCTTGGAGTGATCGTAGGGTTGAGCCAGGCCCCTTAAGGTTTAAGGCGACTCTTCGGCAGGGTGGGCTTTGGGGGGGGGGGCAGGGGTGGGGGGGGGGGGGTGGGGGGGTGGGGGGGGGGGGGGTGGGGGGGTGGGGTGGGGGGGGGGGGAGGGGGGGGTTTTTTGGCTTTCAACTGCCTTTGCTCGTGGCGAACCTTTTGGGGGTGTGCAGGGGGGGGTAGGGTAGGGGGGGGAGGGGTAGGGGGGCAAAACCGAAAACTCTCAAAACTCTCAAACTCGTGCCGTTCGAACTGTCAAGCTGCAAATCGCGCAGACGATCAACGAATCAGACTTTTCGTGCTCGAGTGTCGTCAAGCTTCAAAGTTTCAGCCTTCGAGCTTTCAAACTCGTACGGCTTTCAAACCTTCAAACTCCGAACCTTCTGGACGCTTCAAACTCTCAATCTCTCATACTTTGAGACTCTCAAACTCCAAAGGCTCTCGAACTCCAAACTCAACCCGGCTGAAACTCTCGAACTCGAAGCCCGGTCCCGTCGTGTTTGCCGTGGGTTCAGGTAGGCTTCAAACTTTCCAACTCGATCTCGTTTCCGACTTTCGAGCCCCAAACTCTTTCAAACTTCTGACTTTCGAGCTCCGTGCCGGTCGTCGTTCTCGCTTCGAAGTTCGAAACTTTCAAAACTCCAAAGTGACAATCGTGTTTTATCGTTTCAAACTCTTGAAGATTCACAGTTTGAAAGAAGTACTCGTGACTCCTATCTGTTGTCAGTGAGCGATGGCCACTTTCATTTTCGTACCAACTGCGCCAGCTTTGTGTGAGGTCCCCCCTTGCGACCAAATAGCTGGCGCCAACATTGTGTGTGGTGTCCCCGCTGCGACCAAATTACTCGCGCCAACTTTGTGTGGCGTTTCCCCTTCGACCAAATAGCTCGAGAGAACTTTGTGTGGTGTTCCCCCTGCGACCAAATAGCTCTGCCCCCCTGTGACTTAATAGCTCGCGCCAACTTTGTGTGGTGTCCCTCATGCGACCAAATGGCTCGCGACAACTTTGTGTGGCGTCCCCCTTGCGACCAAATAGCTCGCGCCAACTTTGTGTGGTGCCCCCCTGTGGCTAAATAGCTCGCGCCAACTTTGTGTGGTGCCCCTTCGATTTTGCATTCTTACACAAGAACTTACAGTAGACCATTAGAATCTCACCACACGACTTATTCTAGGCCATATCATAGACCCAAAACCCAGTTGTACTCAGCATTTGACGTTGTTCTGTGTCTTCATGAACTGAATGTGAGAGGATCACGTGGAAGCTTCTCCAGCAGAGTAGGCTGGGCACCCAACTGGGAATCTGGGAGATGCCACGTGAGGTGTGTGTGTGTGTGTGTGTGTCTTTTCGACTGTTGTTTTGGGCTGCTTTTGTTGGGAGGCTCTATAGCGAGCTGAACAGGGTGTTCTGGCGGCAGCAGGCCGAAGGAACATCTCGGACCTCCAGAGCCGGATGTCTGTCGGGAGATTTCCCGCGCGCCGTCCAGGTGCACGGCGCAAGCTTCGGGCTCGCCGGATCTTTGCTTGCCAAGCTTCAGCCTCGCTCGTTTGTACTTGTGAAGCCGCTTTAGGAGGCGCACAGCGCCGCGCGCAACGCGCAACGCGCGCGCTGCGCGACGCGGGCTGGGTTGCTGAGGTGGGTTCGGCGCCGCGAGGCAGCTCAGAAGAGCGGCTGAGACTCGCTGAGGTGTAGATTCCAAGAATTCGACACTCATGTCATGCCGATCGTGGCAGCTTTGAAGCATTGTGGATGGCAAGGTGGATGCTGGCGCTCTCTCTCAAAGAGAGAGTTGCTGCATCCCCTGCATGAAGGGGGGGTTCCCAATCTCCGCTTTCAGATGCTGGGGGCGCCTATGATGGCAAATCGCACTGCAGTCCCTCCTCAGAACAAAAAGAAGAAGCTGGGGGCTGAGAAAAATGTGTTGTGCCGGTGCCGAATTGCCCAGCGAAGCTCCGCGGAGATCCCCACCAGTGAGAACTATTTTACAGAAGGTAAGGCAAGCATGGCAATTTGTGGCAATTTGTGGCAATGTGTGGCAATGTGTGGCACACGTGGCAATATGTGGCAACGTGGCGCCCAAGTGAGAGAGCGAGAAGCATCGCTCTCTCGCACTCTGCGGAGTGCCCTCCTTCAGTGTGCAGTGGCTGATCAGCAGCTTCGTGCATCTCGAAGACTTCGGTCGAGCGGGGCGACCTCAGAAGCAAAAAGCCGATTGCAGAGCGCACTATACCACTGCGCCCGAATCAGCAGAAGCACCAGCACTTTCTCGTTTGTCGTCGGGCTGTTTGCCGCCAACTTGCTGTGACCAGCAACAACAAGTAACTCTCAGGCTCGCGCAGCTGAGAGATCTGAGGGCCTGGGCCCGTTGTGACTCAAGAAGCAACCATGTCTCTGTGCGAGGGTGTGCGCGCAGTGCGCAGCACGGAAGGGAGTGTGCATTGCGGCAAAAAGGGGAGCGGGCCTCGAATGTTTCAGTTCCAGTCTTCATGTCATGCGAAATACGGAAGCCGTGACAACTACTTGTATCTAGTGGCTGGTATGCTGTAGCGACGAGAACTTGTACAATGTTGTACATGTTTGTTTTTGGCCTTGCGATCAGCAGCTCGCGCCTCGTGCTCCTGCAGACGTTTTTTTTATCTCAAGACGAACCATGAAGGCGCATGTGCAGGGGAAGGGCCTGCTCTGAGAGGAAAGGTCTTCGATGGCAGCTCCTCCAGCTGTGCCTACTTGTCGCTGAGCTGGAGCTGGGCGCGGCCCAGCAGTGCAAAACGTTCACCGCCACTGTGCCAGGGGGAACCGTCGTGACGATTGATTGCGAGTGGTCCGTTGTGACAATCACATGCTACCAGTCGCAGGCAATCCCAGACTGTCACCGCGAGGAGATGTTCAAGACTACTTCGACGTCGTCTACCTCCACGTCGTCTAGAACCGACTCGAGAACAACCACCCAGACTTCCACCAGCATCAGCTCCACAAAGTCAAGCTCAACTTCCACACTGTCCACTGCCACATCAACGACTTCATTGGTGACAAGCACCACCTCAACAAGTGTAAGTTCAAGCATTTCATCGACGTCCACCGTGTCCCATACCACCACAGGCACACCAAGCAGCACCAGTTGCACCAGCAGTTCCACCGCAAGTACGTCACGAGGCCCCAACACCGTGACCACTTCTAGCAGTCGAAACTGGGCAGGAACGGCAGGGACATCCACAGGGCCGTCCGCAGCAACATCCACGGGGACCTCCACGGGGACCTCCACCGGGACAGCCACAAGGACATCCACCGAGGTGGCCACTGCAATTCCCAGCACTCCAGTGTGGACGACAACGGCCGCAACGAGGAGGACCACCGCAAGGACGACGACCAGGACGACCACGTCCACGTCCACGACGTCCACGGCGTCCGGTGGCAACATGGTCACCCACCTTGGATACCTGGCCCTGTCGGCATTTGGGGTGTCCCAGCTGCAGGCGGAGCTTGCCGTCGCTGCGGTGCTCCGGGATTACCTGCAGCTGGACGCTGACAGCGTGGCTGCAAGGGCCCGACGGTGGCAGCGGCCCCTCGCCGACAACGTTGAGGAGATGTGGAACGTCTCATTTTCCATGGCAGTCCCCCCTGCCCGAGAAGAAGAACTTCTCGGCTTGCTGAGGGACTTGCTTGCGAGTGTCGAGGCCAATGTCGCCTCTTTCTCCAATGCTCTGAGAGATCAACTCCGGCTCGTGGGTGCAGGTCCGTCCGGGCAGCTGAGCATCCTTTTGTGGGTGGAGGGCTTAAGTTCTCAAGAACCGGACCCAAACAATTCCGCATTCATCACGATCGTAAGTCTGGTGAGCGGCTTGGCGCTGGCTGCACTGGTGATGTTGGCCTCTTACGTCCTTTGGCGGCGCTGGGCCATCTGGGAAATGTGGGCGCCCTCTCGGTTTCATCAGCTGCCGAAGGCCCTGTCGCAGAAGGCTCCGATAGCGCGTGATTTATGGCAGCTTGAAGCCGAGCGGTGGGACATGGCAGAGCGTGTGATTCGGGCTTCGCAGTTCCCCTTGGCATCGAAGTGGACGGGTGTGTGGCAGTGGGAGGGCGATGAGGGCAAGAAAGAGGCGCGGTTCTACACCCTCAGCTTTAGCGTTGGAGGTCAGTTCTCGGGCTTCGGCAAGGGTGCCCATGGCGACTTCACTGTCAGCGGTGGTGCGCTTGATGCGGTGAAGGGAATGGTAAAGTGGCGGGAGAAGGATCTGAAGGATCTTCACTGCATGGAGTGCGCTGGTCAATGGGACCTCCGTGGTCCTTTGTCTTCGCATTCGCCGCATTCGCCCACCCGAATCGAGGGCATCTTCTCGGCTTACGACATCACAGCAGTGCCAAAGCGTGTAGGACAGGGCTGTTTCACCCTCACTGCTGACGCCGCAGGTGTTCCAGCTGTGAAGGGCCAGGCCACCAAGCCGCCCAAGCCTGTCTCAGATCTAGTTTAAGAAGACACACAAGATCTGGTTCAGAGGCGAGAGTGAATGCCAGCGTCGCAGCCCTTTTCTTGGTTTTGCATTTCGGGGGGGTTTTCTCCGCGTGCTGCAGGGTGCCCCATTGGTGGCTTCAAGACATGTCAAGACGCTTGACATTCATGTGCACCATTGTCAGATGACTTCGCACCACGTGCCATGCCAAAGGGCATGCTTTATTTACTATAGAGCAACCCAAGCCTTCACCTTGCCAGCTGCTTGATCTCAAAGGGGCCCAGGCTGCACCACAGTCTTCCGAAGAATGCAAAAAAAGTTCGACCTTTGCACACAATGAACGCCTTCCAGCCCCGTCTTCTCCTTATTTGAGCAGGCACCTTGCCCATAAAGCTTGCGCAACATCTTGCAACCCCAAACCCCCCCCCCCTACTATACCCCTGACCAAAACTTTGCACAGCGTTCGGAAGAGACACTCGCGACCCTTCTCCTTCCCTCTCCCGATATGGCGACGGGGCCTGGACTCTGCATGGCGGCCTCCGCTGGGGATTTGGACCGCTGCAGGGAGCTCCTGACAGAGGGGGCGGAGGCGGGGGCCCGGGTGCGCGCAGGAGTCGGAACAAGAGGACACACCTTGACACCTAGTTCCTGAGGTCTTCCGTATGGTCTCTCTGTGAGTCTATGTGTGAAGTGCTCCGATGCTGAACTGCAGCGACTATGGGCCGACTGGGGAGCTGCGGGCTCAACGGCAGCTGCCGAGTCGTTTCCGGACCATGGTTCGGAACTCTAGGCCGTAGCTTTTTTGCAAACTACTACAGAAGGTTCCAAAAAACGTCAGTTCAATTTTTTGGCGTCCCTCCAAGTGAATGCTTGACTTCCTGACATATGCCCTGCCAGGTCAACGCAGCAGACGTGTTCAAGCGGACTCCCCTGATCAACGCCGTAGTGTCCGGCCATGCCCCCTGGCAGCAGCACGGCCTTTTTGCGAGTGATCTCACGCTCTCTCTGGTCAAGTCTGGTGTTTTGTCGACATGTTCCACACAATCGCTATCATGCCGATCACACCTGGGTGCCTAGTGCATGCTCTCAAAGTTCAAGAAAAAATGGCAGCCCCGGGATGTCAAACTGGCATAAAGCCAATTCAAGCAAGCTGCTCTCAGGCACCGGTGGTGCAGCTTCTGGTTGCTGCACGAGCCGACACTGCCCTGGCCGACCGCAGCGGCTGGTCAGCGTGGCTCGAACGCTGACATGCGAAGTGCCAAGACGTTGCTTGCTGTGCAGAGTGGCGCCTGCCCAGGCTGCACTGGGCCGCGTTCCAGGGAGATGGCGACATGGTCCGACTGTGCCTCTCGTTGGGGGCAGATGCGAAACAGAAGGCGAAACCCACTCTGCTGTTACACTGCCCTTGAGATCTGTTGAAGCTCAGTGCGCAGGACTTGAAGGGTAGCACTCCACGAGAGGCCGCCGATCGTAGAGTCGTAGAGGGGTTCGCAAGAGACGGCACTTGGCATGGCGCACGTGGCATCGCTTAGCTCAGACTCTCAGGTTGTGGAGCACCTCTTGGAAGGAAAAGGTGAGGCAAAGTTCGGCGAAGGTTTGCAGGGCGACCGAGGTTCGGCCACGCCTTTTTTTCTCGAATCTTTTCTGGCAAAGTCTCTTGCAGAGTCCTTTCCTTCTAGAAACTCTCGAAGTGCCCCGGCCCATTCCTGCCAGGTCTCGAGGCTGTGCTCGCTCTGCTGCCCAGCTGGCCCAGCCGTGAAGGAAGTCCTGTGCCCAAGTGACAAAGTGACAAGGCGGTCCAAAGATGACCCTCCCCAGCAGACCTTCCAGAAGCTTTCTACTGACTTGGACAGATGCATGCAAAAAAGCCGCGTCGCAGCAGGAGAGCAGCGACTCTAGTTGTCTGAACATGTCTGAAGCTGAAGGAGGAAAGGCTACGCAGGTTGGGAGACCGAGACCGAGAGTTCAACAAACTCTGGCACTGTAGCTGTTGATCGACTGAAACTATGATTCTGCAGATTCCCGAGCACGGAGCAGGCCTAACCCCCCAATTGTCCATGTGAAGAGCTTCGGCACACTGGCAGCTGTCTTTGGGCCCCAGCCACCCTTAAGGGGTTGGCACTGGGGTCGCGGCCCAGGCAGAATGTCAAGAGAGGGGAACACCATGGAACAGCCAGGAACTACATAAAAGAGGGCACAAATGCTACATACATGTGGCAAAGGCCTCCTAAGCCTACAAGAGGTCAATGTAGAGCCAGGGGTAAGCAGGAGCAGCGGATTGCATCCAATTGAGCTGCCGGCCGCCATGGAGGCTTGCACATCCCGTGAGATGTGCTCGTTGTGTCAGATACGTCTGTCAGTTTCTGGCCCCTGGTTTGTGTGAATCCAGGTCGCGGCCAGCTTGGGTTTGGATGGTTCCTCAGAGTGGCTGCGCTGGACCTGTTTTGAATTTGTTTTGAGCCGGGCTGTCATCTCACTGTTCAGTATTGTCCAATCGCCCATCTCGTTCTCAACACCTGCGAATTGCGAACAAGCCTTTGCACAAGCTGCCGTTGTAGTCATGGTATTCACAAACTCTGACACTCGAAGGCCTCTCTCGACGTGCCTCACGACTTTAGAAAAGCAGCCTCCAGTAGGGACACACCCAACCTGACACACATCCCACGCAAGACCCCGCGCAAGGGAAGCGAAATACTATTTTCTCTTGTATCATGTGTATCCTATATGTATATTAGATACATATAGTCGTATGTGTATTTCATATTGACAGTATATTTTACTCTAGGATTAGGAAATGTAAACGCTTGCCACTGACATGTCGGGCCATGGCGCCGTGAAGCCAAAGCAGGCGCCCTGAAGAAAGAAATTCGGAGGGGGGGTTCTTGCGCTTTCCTCTGAAAGCCCCTTAAGCCTCAAATTTCTCTCCAAAAGGATCAGACCCAGCTGGAGCTGTCCATTGTCATCGAGGGCGGCCCTGCGTGTCGAAGCTGCATACGAGACAGCCAGACAGTTCGCTGGTGAACCATTCTAGTAGGTGCTACAGTACTTTTTTTTTATCTACGATTCTTCTAGTTTTTCCCATCAAGTCTTGGCACAGGCCACACAGATTCATTGCGATCATGTGGGCAGGGCCAACATGCGTCAAAAACGGGTCCAGACCCCTGTCCCGCGAGTGTCCCGCAGGGGATCGGCGCAATTCACCCTCTTGGGCGATGGCGCCGAAATCCTTATCGGCCGCGCCCCAGATTGTCATGCCACCTGGCCTGAAAAAGCTTGTTTTTTCTCGAATCCAGCGCAGTGAGGGCCTCACGCAGAAGCATAGCGCAGAAGCAGAGACCCGGAGCCAAGTTGCAATTGATGGGCAGCGGGGTGTCTTATCGCCATTGCAAGCTGCTCCTGTGACTCGGCTGCGGTAGCTGGAATCTTGAGAAACCTCCCCTGTGCTTCTTCCTGAGGACCAAGAAGGGCATCGGCCTCAGTCGCGAATGGTCTTTCCAGGGGGGATATCAAAGGAAACGAAGGCGCGAGGACGGCCGAGGGGAGCCGCTCTTCCTCGCCTTGCCCAACTCCTCGCCCATCCTCTTTCTCATCCTCTCCCTTCTCATCCTATTTCTCTCTCTTTGGCCCCGCCCTCTTTGGCCCCGCCTCTCTGCTCTCAGACTCTCTCCCTCCCGCAGCCGCGGTGCTCCTCTCTTGTTCTTGCTCTTTGCAAGAAGGATTTGGAGGCATGAACGCTGATGCAAGCAACGCTCCCAAACACCCTTCCCGGCACCCGCGTGTTGCAATCGACCTTGGATGTGAGACACTTGGCAACGCGCTCCAGCCAACCTCTCCTTCCATGTCTTTGATTGAAATGCAACAGGAACAGAGCAAAGATGCCGCACTTTTCGATGTCATAAGGCCAAGATGTGATTCTCCGAGTGCGCGACACGTCGAGGAACGGCACCTCGGACGTTGGACGGAGGAATGTTTTTGTTTTTTTTTGGGGGGGGGGGAGGGGGAGGAGGGGAGATGGGGAGCACCTGAAAGGCCCCCCCCCCCCGCCTTTAAACGTGTCTGCGTGGGCATTTAGATGTTATTTCAGGGCCCGGCCCTACCCGATCTTTTTGTGTGCAAGCATGTGCTTTTGTGAATGCGGCTGAGGTACAGGCGCACGTCACAGCCGCCACAAGCAACCTCATCGCTCTTTCAAAGAGTTGAAGGAGGGCGAGGAAGAGGCTGGCCCAGCACAAGTGACTCAGCGAGCGAGTGTGTGTGTGTGTGTGTGTGTGTGTGTGTGTGTGTGTGTGTGTGTGTGTGTGTGTGTGCGTGCGTGCGTGCGTGCGTGTGTGTGTTCGCGTTTCCTGTGTGTCTCTGGTCTCTGCCTCTCTCGAGCTCAAGTCCGTAACTCTCTCTGGTGCTCCGCATTGCTATCCCTGTCAGGTGCTCCAGCACCGCTCTCAACTCTTAGTACCCCTCAAAGAACGCGACAAAGGCGCGGACACTAGATCGGCTTGATCCCGAGCTTCAGTACCGCATAAGACGGCTTACTGAGTCTGTTTGGGTTTCAAGAGCTGAGGTGCTGACGGTGCACTTCGCCCTGCCAGATGCTCCTTAGCCCTTGATTCGCCAGCCTCCTGCCGCCCAGAAGCCAACAATTTCCACGGGATGTGCACAGGCTTACAATCCGGCACAAGAGACCGGGCGCTGGCAGTATGAGGACATGTGTGGCGCTTGTGTATTCATGAGCCGACAACTCGCTGCTCGCAGGAGAAGCTGGGTGAGGGTGGTTTGGCGGTGGTCTACCGCGCACGTGATGCCCCTTGAATGCACAATGGCCGACGCCTCCACCCCCATCAGGCTCTGTCGTTCACAGCTAAAGGGGATCACCTGCCAGGACAGCTAAGACTAGGACGGCCGAGTTTCAGAGGTAGGAAGCATGGTTTCGCTGAAACGTAGAGCTGGGAGTATCGGGAACAGGGGTTCGCAACAGCTAGGTGAACGTGCTATACAGCGTGCGTGTGTTGTCCGCCGCGAGGTCTCTGGATCCTTGGGTGAGGTGGCAATCAAAGTGTCCAAGTTCAAGAACTTACCCTCGGTGGCTTGGCCCAGAGCAGTGGCAACAAAACAGAGCAGAACATAAACAGAGCAGAACGTAGCGCTTCTTTTTGTTTTTGGCGTTCAACTTGACTTCGGGCGGCGAGCGACCTGGAGAGGTCTCCAACCAGAATCGGCACATCTATGCTTTGCACCGCGAAGCCCAGTGGTCGATTCAGCGCCTTCACAATGACAGCGACTCTCGCTACGATGCGGGAGGTGTGGAGATGTGTGGAGCATGGAATCTGAGACGGTTTGCAGTCGGGTTCAACATCAACCTTGTGGCAAAAGGCGCAGAGCTTTTTGCACGCTACTTGGAGGACCACACAGGCGCCACAACGGCGGCAGGGGCATGGCCACCAATGGCCACATGAACGCTTGAAAAAAGACGTGACTTCGGTCAGGCTTCGATGCGCATGACGGCGACACCTTCGATGCCACCAGGCCCGCGGTAAGGCATTTGGGTTCGGTGACGCTGTGCCTGACGCCTCCATCTTCGCTGTTTATCGCACGTCGTAGCAAGGCTTTTTGTTTTGACTGAGGCGGAAGTATGAAGATCCCAACTTTGCGCCTGCGCCCAAGGGCCTTCCAAGGGTAGTCTGAGTAGTCTGGGTTGCAGGAGAGGTCCTGCTGAAACCCGAACCAGGTGGGCGCAGCACAGCTTCGAGCCGAAGTTGTCGCGAGAGCCCTATGCCGCCATGCTTGAACTTAAGATGTGCTTTCTGTGGCATCATATGAATATATATGTATTTTATGTATAAACATATATATATATATATATATATTTATGAATCATAGGAGCCTTGAAGTGGTCCTAATGGCTTGCGGGTGTGGGAGCTCAGGTAGTCATGGAGCTCGTGGAGGCAAAGCTTCTTCAGTCTGTCATCGACGCGCAGCCGCCGTTGGACTTCGCGGAGAAGCGGGCGATCACCAGGTGCCCCCTCCCCTTTCATCCAAGCCTCAAGGTGCCTCCACGTGTGATGAGCATAGTCCTCGAGGGGAGCCGCAGAAAGCCGCAGGCAGTGTGTGCGCAGCCTCGTGTACCTTTCCAAGTTTGACGCGCTGCATCGGGATTTTCGAGGCCCCTTGGATTCAGTGCTACAAAAGCCCAAGAGTGAATGAGGGCTGTTACCATGTGGGCTGTTACCATGTTTTTCACGTGCATCTTGAAGCCTGTTTTTACAGGTATGGCTTGCTACGCTTGAATTGCTGAGTAAAGGGGCAGAAAACATGTGCATACGGCAGACTACTGAACTGGGACGCAGATGTACCTTTTATTCGAAACCTGGAGAAGACTTTTTCTAGTCTTTTTGTGCTAAGCTGGCTTTGGCATGTTAGCCAGTTTGCAAAGGTCACATCATGCGAGAATGGATGCCTTTTGGTGCATTTGTTGTTCATGGGACATGCCATGAGTGATGTTTGTTTCGTTCGCATGACCCCCCCCCCCCCCCCTTTCTTGGCAGAGTGGGTTTCATCCGTTGCTTAGACCATACTTTGAGGATCTGTACAAGTAGAAGTGCTTGCAGCCATTCCGACAGCTGCCAAGCAGAAACTCAGGGCACCCACCGCGAGGTTGACAAGCCTCTGCTTCTTTCTCAAAGCCCTTCGTAGAGTAGGCATTGGCGCCTGCTGTCCCGGTCAGGCTGCAATATCTTCCTTCAAGGCCGTGGGCGTGACTGCCGTCTGAAAGTCATCGACCTTGGCTTCATGATTTCCGCGGCTTGTGCTGCACTGTTGTTTTATGAGTGTAGTAAGTGGAGTGCGTGCTTGTGAAGTTGCTTGGGTCACTTGGGTCGCTCTTGAGCGAGGCAGATGACCATCAGGCCAAGAACCCCAACATAGCAGTTCGCTGTGCTTGGCAGGGCAACAAGGACGTGAGAAGTTGCAGGTTTAGTGGTGTGGATCTTGTTCGTACCTTGCAAGATCCTTTTTGGTTACCATGTTTGCTGTTGTTCTCTTCCAGAGGACCATCGCATCCGCTTCGACTGGGCACCGCCCGAGGTCCGGACGAAGGAGGTTCGCAACTTCGGCCTGCCTGGCCCTCGCCGTCTCTTAAGTGGCAAAGTTGTGAGAGATACGATATGCGAAGAAGCGCCCCCGAGACTTTCTTCTTCTTCTTCTTCTCCCCCCACTTGCTCTGCGTGCCCTGAGGCCTGGCAGCTCCTTCGACATCTTCTCCTTGGGCGTCCTGCTCTTGAAGCTACTGCGTGGCCGGAGCTGGACGCAGGACGTCTTCCCTGACGTCCCCTGCATCCCGCTTCCACTTGCGCGGCGTAGTTCCCAACTCACATGTCCAAGCACATGTCCAACCACGTGAGTCGCCCTATGTGGGGAGTCCCTCTTCTGGGGAGAGTCACTCAAGCGCATCGAGTGCCCCCAGGAGGTGGTCAACAGCCGCGACATGTCCGAGAAGCTTCAGTCCCTGACAGCAGATTTGAAGTATCTGCAGCCCAGCTAAAACTGAGCAAGAAGTCTGCGCGGGAGCGCGGAGAGAGTCGGTCTCTCTTTTTTTGTTGGCTCTCAGGTTTCTTTAAATCTTTGTCTTCTCACTACTCATTCTTTTCATTTCTCTGGCAGAGGAAGCTCACGCCGCAGCTCTTCCGCAGAATGCTTGACCAGAGCTCGGAGAGCAGGATGGGATGGGATCTCGTGGAATCAGTAGGATCAGTGACCAGTGTAGAAGGCACGGGGCCCTTCTTAGATGGCGGAAAATCGGTCCCTGTCAACTTTTCTGATCTGTGCTGAAGACCAATCATGCAATGGTTTGCGGTATGGAATCGGCCTTTGCCGTTTTAGGGTATCTTATGAACCGAGAGAGATAGTGAGAGAGAGAGAGAGAGAGACAGACGGAAGCAACCTCTCCAAGAGGGTCTTCGATGAAGGACCGAGGGATGGAAGGGAGCGCCATGCAGACCTACTGACAGTGAATCAGCGGATCTGAGCGACAGCGACACCTCCTTCGAACGCTACGCAAAAGCCACCCCCCTCGCCCGTTCTCAGTCTGCGATTCTGAAGAGGCCTACGCCTGGAGAGCTGATGGAGGTGGTAGGAAAGCGGCAGAAAACAGAGAGGCCTCGCGAGGGTTTGAAGGGTCTTGAATCTGGGTTTATGAGGTTTGGCTCTGAGGTTTCAAGTTTCAAGGTTGGGGTTCCGTTTCAACGTATTCCAGTGCGGTACGCGTGTATGATACTCTCTCCGGTCATAGATTCAGGTGAGAGGGAAGCCTGCTGGCAAAGGGCGGGTTGAGGTTTCGAGCTGTGGCTTGGGTCATTCAAAGACCCAGCTTGCTTTACCAGGCCACTGTGGTGGTAGGTACCTCCAAAATCCAGAGGATCATAACGGTGCAGCTCTAAGAGCCAGTCGATCATAGGTGCACTTCCAAGAGCCAGGTGAAGACGGTAGGGTTCCAAGAACGACGTAAGCCTGGCAGTTCGCACTGAGCCACTGAGTTCATTGCGATGTACTCCGTCTCGTTGCCAATTTGCCGGCTGAGTATTCGGACCCCGGATGTTTCCGTCCTCTTCCCGATTCGCTTCGTGTTCGGACTTTGGACATTTCCCCGATTCGCTACATGTTTCATTGTTTGCTGTTTCCGTCGTTTCTCGGGCATTTTCCAGATTTTTGCCTCCTTCTTCCCGATTCGATTCATGCAGTCCATAGTTTTCGGATGTTTCCGCGTTCATGTTCGGATATTTCTGGATGTTGCCGTATTCTTCTCGATTCGTTTCGCATCCATTCATTTCCGGATTCTTCCGTCTTTCATTTTCGGACATTTCCGACACTTCCTCCTTCTTGCCGTTTCGCTTCGTATTCCATCACTTCGGGGTTTGGGCATCTTCTCCCCGTTTTGGCCGGCCGCAAAGAGTTTGATCCCGGCCCCCTTTCTGCAGAGACGCCCAACAGTATGCGCCGTCGAGAGTTTAGTCACAGAATAAACACGCCGTCTGCTGATGCGCAGGCCGCCGGCAGAGAAGACTCAGGCGCGCTGACGACGGGTGTGGGAGGGGGAGAAGCTTGAGGGATTTGCATCAGTCGAGTCGACTGCCAATGCATTTCACTCCAAAGAAGGCGGCCCCCCCGACAGGACAAAAACTTGATCGTGCCAGTGACGCCACCGAGTGATGGGGGCATACATTATGGCGCAAGTGCGCCTGGCCTGTTTGTGCCACAAAGAGAGATAGACTAACAGAGAGTTAGCAGGGTCTGCGGCCCCTGGGAACCGGCTGTTTCCTTGCCTCGTGGCATGGTTTCTGAGTGAACCTGGCGAGAGGGGGGAGTGTGAGAGAGGCCCCGCTCGAACCTGGGCACTCCGCTTCGTTAATCGATTTGTTGAGCTTTAGAGTATGCCCTGGTGTTTCCAAACGTCCAGAAAAGGGAGGGGGACTTGTTTTGCAGCAGTTGAGCGGGTTGGTTCTACAGCGAGAGGAAGAAAACAAAGAAAGAAGAGTGGCACACAACGTCCTTGTGCTGCTGCCATCTGACCGCTTGGCCAGTTTTTCTCCAAAACCACCCGGAGCTGCAAACGCCGCCGGAGCCACCTGAGCCGGTGGCGCCTCCGGCACCAGCGGCAGCGGCGCCAGCAGCACCAGCGGCGCCAGCGGCGCCGGCGGCGCCAGCGGCACCAGCGGCGCCGGCGGTGCCGGCGGCTGCGCCTCCGCCGCCGCCGCCTCCGCCGCCTCCGCCGCCTCCCCTGCCACAGCAGCAGGTCGCAGGGATACAGTGGGAGCGACATGAAATGGGAGCAAAAAAGAGGATGGGGTCGGGAGTTGCGCTTTGAAGGTGTCCTGGCCACAGCTGACCACTCAGATGGCGACCCAGATGGCGGCCACCCAGCTGGCAGCCTCCCAACTGGCAGCGATGCAACTGGCCTCCCAGATGGCCTGGCCCCAGCCGACCCTTGACTTGCAGCAGCTCTTCCGTTGTTCCGTTGTTCCGTTGTTCCGTTGTGTTGGCTCGCCATGCCATAAGCATCCCACAATAAACCGTGCAAGTTTCAAAGTTTCTCAGGCAAATGCAGCAACAGCAGCCCGACGCGGGTCAAAAGAGGCAGGGGGGGCTTATTCGGCCGACAAGCTCTTGATGGGTCCGGATGTGGAAGCTGCGAAAAGGCATGAACGCTCGCGATCACCTCCTCGCCGACGGACTTCACCGCACCAGGCCAGGCAAAGAGGGAAAATAGAGCTCAACCACTGCGTGACTTCAAGCAGTGTGCATAAGGCATCACTTGTTCACCTTATTGTCAGCAACTTTGGCTTTGCAACTTTCGCAGGACCCGGGCGCCCAAGACGTGCAACGGGACCACCGGCCCAGGCGGAAACTGAATGCAATTTTGGCACGTATTTTGGCAACACATGGCGTGCCATCTGTCACATTGGTCTTCTTGGGCGCAGTGCTCCAAGCATGCGGCTCAAGCTGCACGGAAGTACAAGCATAGTTCCGCAGAAGCAAACATGCAAACATATCGCCTCAGAGCGGCCATCAGCATAGCCCTCACCGCCAGGATGAACGCGTCTGAATGAGTCTGAATGCATCTGAATGCTCTTCCGCGTGTTCTGGCCGGAGCATGGAAAGCTTCTCGGAGTACGCGGGGCGCTGGTTGGGTGGTGGCTCACAGCAGAGGGGCAGATCTTCAATGGAGGCACCGGAGTCACTGGAGACGATGCCGATGATGCCGATGATGGCGATGCACGTGGCCCAGAGGCCGCCTTTGTAGCTTGCGTGCTTCGGCCCGGGGACGCTCTCAATGCTCTCGATGCTGTCAGGGACAAAGCAAATGCAGGGCACCAGGCACTCCGGACACTCCAAACACTGCAAACACCGCAGGCGCAGCTCACGATTCTTGGGGAGGCCCTCGATTCTTCTGCGACCTTAGCGGAAGCAGAGCCGGGTGGCACGGGCCGAAGAAGGCTTTGGATTCGCAGCCGCACCTGCGGCGAGTACCTGCAGGTTTCCGTGGAAGGTTCTTTGGCTCAGGTGACTTATGCGCCTGTATGGGTCCAGGTGATTGTCTACCATCTACCGGCGCGACGAAGCACGTTGGCTGAAGTGGTCTTGGGTGCACGGCCGCAGTGGCGCGCGGCTGCGAAGGCCACCTTGCAGCCCACACAGCCCACACAGCCCACCCAGCTGGAAGCCGTCCTGCCTTTATTGGATCTCGCCCCCCAGGTCGCAGAGTCTGCGCAATGCAATCTCCCGACTGCCCCCCAAGATGGAAGACTGTACATAATATTGTGCTTCATGTTGTGCTGTGGTGCCGGTGCTTGCGCCATTTGCGGCCACTTGAGCAAGCTGGCCCTCAGCTGCTTCCCCGCGTTTGGCTTGGAGAGAAGTGCGTTGCTCAGCCAAGTGCGGACCCGCCTTCGCCTGCAATCGGACTGGCTGGCCTGCCTCGAGCGCTGCGCGCGCTCCCCGAGCGATCCGTGCACAGTGAACACGGTGACCACGGTGACCGCTCGGCTGGAAGTGGTGGCCTTGGTGTTCTCTGCAGTGCTTGATTCCCTATTGGGTGCTTGTGCTTGCCTGTGGCTCTATGGCTGTGGCTACAAAGCCTCGGACTTGTTTCTGGCACTCGCGCAGCTCCAGGAGTGGGCCTACGAGGAGAAGATGGTAAGCCTTGTGACCTGGCTGATGGGTGCCCCGGCAGATTTCAAGTTGAACCAACAGCTGACTTCCTTTGCAGGCGACCTCTTCCTCTCCATGTTCTCTCTTTGGGGCCGCTTGCTGCGGCCTTTGGCCGTGGCCAAAGTGATCGCCGACGGCACCATCTGGGCCACCAATTTTTGTTGGCTCCTGGTGGCCAGTTGCCTGGGCCTGTCAGGCCTGGGCGCTTTGGCCATGGACCTCCTGGCACTCACCTCGCTGCCCCTCTTTGTGGCCTACTTAGGCACTTGCTTGTGCTGGAAGATGGCCACGAGATCGCTTTATACCTTGAGCTTGCTGTTCCAGGGCTGGAAGCACAATGTCCTTCGCTCCCGTATTGATCATCACAACTTCGACTTGGACCAGCTGCTCATTGGGGTGATTCTCCTGTCGATTGTGGTCTTCCTCTTGCCATCGCTCTTCATGTTCTACAGCTGCTTTGCATCTTCCTGGCTGCTGGTTCTTGCTGCTCACTACGGTTTCGGCCTGCTGGTGTCCATTTGTAACCATCAGCACTCCTGCCTGCTCAGCCTTCAGCCCAACGCCCGCCGCATAATGCTGGAGTTCCTGGAGGTGCGCGAGGGCACGGAGGAGGCCTTGCGCACCGGGGCCTCACAAACACAGAGCACACTGCGCCTCGCTCTGCGCCCTTTGGGCCCTTTGGGCGGCCTTGCCCAGGCCTTGCGTGCCTCGCTGATATCGTTGGGTCCGCTCGGCGCGAAAAGTGGGCTGCTGGCCGTCGCCTCGGGCGAGGCCCTACCCCTATGTCTCATCAACCCCCCACATCCCGGGCCCCCACATTCTCCACCCAAGCCTGAG